CTTCCACAGGATCCCCAGCAGGACAGGAGCTTGGAAGGAACAGAGGCACCAGAGGGGGGACCAGTGAGGCAGCAATTGCTGGAGGGAGGTGTGAGAAGAAACCACACACATGGCTCTGCTGTGTGCCCAGGGACCAAGGTGTTCCAGCACCAGGCAGACAGCAGCACCCAAGAGCCTGCAGGATGAGGGGTGGCAGCAGAAACCTTGCTGGCATCACTGTGCAGGGCACCAGCCATACCCAGTTTGCTCTAGGTGATGTCTCAGTGTCGTCTAAAACATGGGACTGTCTTTGAGTCCAAGGGGAGTTTCGTTAGCACTGTAAAGACCGCTCTGGGCACACACAATATCTCACAACCAAGGTGTTTTTTCCCATTTTTTAAGTATCACACAGTCCAATGACTGTGCATCCAGTTCCACAGTCAATGCACACATCTAACGCAGCCAAAAACCACCTAAAGCTCTGAAGGGCAAACTCCTGGTGGTTTCCACACCTTGCTCATGCTCACCCCTGCGCCTCCTGCAGACCATGACCCTGGATGGGTGGCTGGGGTGAGGAAATGCTGCCAGAAGGTTCCCAATGTGGGCGGCACAAGCTTCAGCCAAATAACGGATGCCCCAGACCTGCTGGGGAGCCTCAAAAGCCTGTTTCTGGTTTACAGGCAATTGGTTCCCCCGACAGGTTTATCTCATTACTGGGTTTCCATTTAGCAAGGCGTTTTAATCGCCTGTAACATTTGTGCATAACAGATTCACCCAATTAAAATGTTATTTCCTTTAACAGCTCCGATAGTCACATTTCAGTGTTTGCTGGAGCGTGTTTTCCTTTCCTTCAACGAGTTTAATCCTTCACCAACCACTCGTTTCAAGGGTTTCACTCGGGAACTGGGCACGGAGAGCATCCTACATCCCTCCCCATCAGTCAGCAGCCTCCCCTCTCCCACCCTAGGCCCCCATCAGCCAAAAGGCAAGGATGCGGAGCATCAGAGGGATGCTGAGCATCACAGGCGAGGATGCAGAACATCACAAGGATGCTGAGCATCATCTTCAGGTGCCTGGTGCCCCCCAGCACCATCCGCAGCCCCTCCAGGGACAGACCTTGCACCCTTTAAGCAGGGAACCACCACCCCCTGGCTCTTGGCACCCCGGGGCACGGCTCAGCCCCCGGTGGAGCCTCCAGGACCGGGACCGGGACCAGGACCGGGAGCGGGGGAGGCGAACAGCGGCCGGCGGGGGGGGGCAGCGGGGGCCGGGCGGAGGCTCTGCAGCCCCGACCGCAGCCAACAGGGGGCTCCGGGGGGTACCGAGAGCCGAGCCGGGGCGGTGCGGAGCCGCACCGAGCCCCCCCCCCCCGGCCCCCGGCAGCGCCCAGCGGATCGGGGCATCCTCGACGGGGCCGAGCCGGGTCCCCGGCACCGAGCCCCGGGTCCGGGCGATGCCGCGGCGGAGGCGGCGGGGGATGCTGGCGCTGCTGCTGGCTTCTCTCTTCGTTTTTGGCACGGTGATGGCGCTGCGCACGCTCCGAGCCGCCGCCGGGCTCCCCGCCGGTGTCCCCCCCGGGGTGGCCGAGCCCCCCGAACCCCCCGGTGGCCGCGGGATGCCGCCTGGGGCCGGTCCTTCCTACGACCTGCACGCTTTCTACTACGCCTGGTACGGCAGCCCCCGCTTCGAGGGCCGCTACCTGCACTGGGACCACGCCCTGGTGCCGCACTGGGACCCCAAGGTGTCGGCCAGTTACCCCCGGGGGCGCCACCGGCCTCCCGACGACATCGGCTCCAGCTTCTACCCCGCTCTCGGCCCCTACAGCTCCCGCGACCCCGCCGTGGTGGACGAGCACATGGGCCAGCTCCGCGATGCTGCCATCGGTAAGAGTCGGGACCCCGCAGCCCCCCTGCAGCCCCCAGCCCCTTTGCCCCGGGGGATCCCAAATCCCCTTGGGCCACCAGCCCTGGGGAAGGTGGCCCCCAAAACCCAGCACAGTGCCTGAAGCTGGTACTGCTGCGCTCACCGGGCTCTGGGCTCTGCTGGATGGCAGCAGGGGCTGTGACACACGGGGCTGGCACCCCCCAGGGTGCTGAGCTAGCCCCCAGCCCAGCATCAGCCCCTTCAGGGTGCTCCCACCTCATCCACTGCTCCTCTCCTGCTTTCACTAACCCCCAGCCTCAAAGAGCTCCCACCACAACCCCATAGCCAACAATTCAGAGCACGATCTCCTAACCAGCCCTTAAACACCCCAGGGCTTCTAAAGTGTTAAAATGACACGAAATATTTACTGCGCCGCTGCTGCAGGGGTTAGAAAGCTGCTGCAGGTTTAGAAAGAAAACGGATTTAAGCGAGACCCGTTCCATGCCCCCACAGGAGTGCTGGTGCTGTCGTGGTACCCACCTGGCCTAGCTGATGACAGCGGGGAGCCCTCGGACAGCCTCGTGCCGTTTATTACTGGACGCTGCACAAAGATATGCCATAAAGGTAAGGCTCTCGGCTGCTCTTTGAGGCCATTAAGCTCATTGTTTGGCTCCAGCATGAAGCTGCTGCTGTGCCTGGGCAGAGGCCCTGCTCCTCTGCTTCAGTGTTAAAAGAAAAAGCACTTACAATTAGACAATGGGAGCAATTTTTAAACAGCTAAAGACAGCTTTTTCTTAGTAATTTGGATCCTCAATTCACTTTTCACTCGTTTTGGTGGAAATAGTGAAAGCTCTGACTTCACCAAGCAGCCCGCTGTGTTCTGCGTGGGCCATGAAGAGGTTCACCGGCACCCAGGGGTGGCAGGAAGCCCTCCAGCACAGATCGAGGGTCCTCTGGGGGGTCAGAGCACAGAGAGCAACGTGACAGTGCTGAAAATAACCCCCTCCACGGTCGCTTTTGCAGGTTGCCTTCCACATCCAGCCATACAAAGGGCGCGATGACCGCACTGTGCACGAGAATATCAAATACATCATGGACAAGTAAGTTCTTCCTGCAGGGTAAATCCTGCTGTGCAACGTTGCTTTAAGCATAAACAGTGTGCAGAGCTTGGAATGAAATGCATCAGAACAGTCCCCAAAAATGCAGCACACAGGGAGCTGCCTAGAGCTAGCCAGCAGGGCAATGCTGACCAGGGGTCATAATCAAATCCCACTTTCTCTGGCACTTCAATGCCTCACCTTGAAAACCCAAACTGTTTTCTTCCGTTTGGGGTTTGTAAGCTAATCGCATGTAGGCCAGCACCTCTCCCCTTCTTTCAGAAGGAAAGGAAGGACACAAACACCACAGTTAAAAACACTCCCATAAAGGAGATAAAGGTTCCAGAGAAGGGTTCTGAAAAAGGAGGCCCCTACAGCAAGTCAAGTCTCACATCACGCTTGTCTTATAATGGCGATACCTGCTGAGGGCTTATCACCCGAGTCTCTGAACAAGCTTTCTGCTCTTCTCTCTAGATACGGATCACATGCAGCTTTTATAAGTACAGGACCAGCACTGGCAGGAGCCTCCCGCTGTTTATATCTATGATTCCTACTTGACACCAGCCGAATCCTGGGCCAACCTTCTCACACCATCGGGCTCCCACTCCCTCCGCAACACTGCCTACGATGCCGTGTTCATAGCATTGCTCGTGGAGGAAGGGCACAAGAATGACATCCTCTCCGCAGGATACGACGGCATGTACACGTACTTTGCATCCAACGGCTTCTCTTTTGGCTCATCCCACCAGAACTGGAAAGCCATCAAAACTCTCTGCGACTCCAACAACCTGATGTTCATCCCCAGCGTTGGCCCGGGCTACATCGACACCAGCATCCGCCCCTGGAACAACCACAACACTCGGAACAGAGTCAATGGGAAGTACTACGAAACAGCCCTGCAGGCTGCCCTCACGGTCAGGCCAGAGATAGTCTCCATCACGTCTTTCAACGAATGGCACGAAGGCACCCAGATCGAGAAAGCTGTCCCCAAGAAGACGCTGACGCGCCTTTATCTCGATTACCTTCCCCACCAGCCCAACATGTACCTGGAGCTGACTCGCAGGTGGGCAGAACATTTCAGCAAAGAGAAAGAGCAGTGGCTGATGTGACTTCAGGGTTCGCCTGACTCACAAAGACATCCCGCCGACAGAGCTGCAGCACAGAGAAGTGCTTCAGAAAAAAGCACGCGAGGAAACGCAGCCACAGAACCTTCAGCCTCGCCGGGCCACTGAATGCCAGCAGCAACCTGCAAGTGTCCCAAGGACTGCCCGAGTCCCAGCTACGAACTCATGGGAGGAAGCGTTATAAGGAGTAGGAAATCTCTAAGGAGCAGCTGAATCTCACTTCCTGCAGATGTAGTAGAGAAGAACTTTCAGAGCTCTTCTGGAATTCGCAAGGGGTGCTGGCTTGTGGGCCAAAGATGGGGTTTTCCTTATGGTGTGTAAGTTCGGGGACGTTTTACATAGGTAGCTGGGTTCCAGCATGCATTTAACTTGAAGCCCTTGGCCCGCTGCCTGCCATGACCACGGATCCCTCACTCCACTAGCAACCTTCAAAACATTTCCCTATCAGTTTACTGTACAAAGAAATAAAGATTTCTCTAAATTGTCTACTGTAGATGAAACTAAGCCATGCAGTTACATACCCTTTAGTTTACCCAAGCGTTTCTATGCCAAGGAGTTCTGCGCTGCGCGTTGTTACCGTGGTCCACTGCATCCAAATACCTACAGAGAATTAGAGCTGGAATGCTAGTGACTATTTACTGCCACTACTGTATGTGCTGGAAACCGAGGCAATGCAACCATCTATACTAAAAGCTCCTAACTGATCGTTTAGCGTGCCAAGTTTTGAAAATTCAGACCTGAAGTTGCTTTATTCCCTTTAGAACCCATGGAAAAAGCCACTTGCAATAAAAATGCAGCTGAAAATACCATTCATTTGTTCTCTGAAAGAACTTCAGCTCACAATATTTTTCCCTTTTTCTGTCATGCTCAGACCCTTCTAAATTAGCCATAAAATTACTTTATACTTGTCTATATCAATAAAATGAGAAGCAGCAGCTCTGGATGTGAAACAAGGTTCTATTCACGATGATTTCATACATGTTCTAGTTAAGCACTTAAGTCTGTCAGAAGTGACAGACAACAAAAATAAGCATTTATAACAAAAACATGCAAGTTCCTTAGCAGTTTTTAAATTGTTAATAACTCCATAAATTTTACTTTTCCTTGAAGAGTAAATACCAGAGCAAATTTTCATCCGTTCCCTATTCAGCTTAGTCACTGGTTACAGAACAAAATCAAGAAAGGAAGACCCACATTAAAAGATGACGAGCAGCACACCAAGAGCTTGGCATTATTCCCTGCGTTAGCAGGAGGTCAGGTCTTTCTGAGCAACACTCTTCTAGGGAGGGGACACTTGAACAAAGAACAAGCTAGAGAACAACATAGCTATAAATTCACAGAAGCCCAAAAAAAACTCTTTTCCATCCTTGTTTTCCTTTTGGCGTAAATACAATAAATGAACACGTGGAATAAGTTTTATGGGGAAGGAGGACCAGTGACGCTGTCTGCATCATCGCATCCTGAGAACAGTCCAACATCCAAATTATTTTTAGATGAGGTAAATAAAACAGACAGGTCTGGGGGAATGGTACAGCAGCACAAAGAGATCAGCAGAAATACCCGGGTTGGATTCTCAGGCTTCAGCCGATGTAACAGTAATTAACAGATCCCCATCGACTGTCACTCTCATTACCCCTTGTTTATTAACCTGCCATAACCCATCGACCTCATTAAACAAGGCCATTAACAGCACTTGCTGAACGCACAGGCACACGGTGCCCAGCTTCACCAGCTCTGCAGAGCCTCCTTGGAGTCTGAAGTCTTAGGATGATTCCGGTACCAAGCCATACTTCTGTCTCAGGATTTCAACTGTGGATTGCAGCGCACTGTGGGGCGAAACAGAACCGTCAGAGAAAAACAGGGGGGTTTTAAGCACTCAACTGTGCATTTTCTGGGAAAGTAATCAGCTAAAGATGCAGTAATTTTGAATTAAGGAGAACACGAACTGCAGAAACAAGGGAAGTTTCATGTAGAAGCTTCCAGAAAGGTATCTCCCAGGTTCAGTATTTGGAGTGCTCCTTCACGATTCCTGAGTATGCTGATAATTAAGCTAAACACATTAATCTGAAGGTTTAACTTCTATAGAGAAACAAGCAAAACGTGACCCACCCTAACCTGAAGGCTTCATTTCTATAAAGTAAAGAAAAAGTTCCATGTAGCAGAGTGCTCACCAGCCAGGTCGGATGATGGTGTACTTCCCCGACACAGATAAGTCGACCACAGTTGACCCCAGACGACACTCCGGGCTCTGGACATCCCCTACGGGGCCTCCATCAATGACTAAGGACAACTGAGGCCAAAGGTCTTGGAATTCCTGTAAAAAAGAGACATGGCTAACAACCCTAAAGATGGTTTGTGTTCGTGTTGTAGCGAATACCACTGGGCAGTCTAGTGTCAAGGGAGGCAGTCTCCTTTTTCTGTCAGATCATCTCTTTTCCCTGTCACGAGCACATCCCATTTTGATATCTGAGAGCAGATTTACCTTCCACATGCAGACAAGTTACAAGAATTCTCAGATCACGAGTGCATAGCTGCACCACCTTATTAAAGAGCACACGCACAAAAACAGCAAGACATTTTGGACCAGAGGGTGCCTTGGTATTGTACCCAACTCTCCCTCCCGAGGTAAGCAAAGAGACATCTCCTGGAGTTAAAGCCGGTTCTCAGGCTGCAAGGAGCTGCGCAGACACCAGGAGTCTCGTTCCACAGCCACCCCCCTACAGCAATTTCTGTCTTTCAGATTTGGTACCTGCTTAATAAAGCAAACACAAGCATGTAATTATTACTTTTAAGCTCTGCCTTCCACACTTTTCAGGGTGGAGATCACAGCCAGACAGCTGCCCCACACCACAAGTCTGCAGGTTGACTGTCACTTAAAAAAAATAAAAGGAAATAACTGAGAAATCCTTGTTTTAGTGTTATGACTGACTTCCAATCATGAGCGCCCAGGGCTCTGGCAGCCTAGCAGAAGAATCCCACTTAGTAGCAAAAAGTGCCTTACCGAAACCGTCAGCGTGCTCGCCTGACTGCTGATGTTAGCACTTGTTAAAGCCAGGGGTCCAGAGCAAGCTCGTGCCAGCTCTCTAATAAAAGGGTGGTTTGGAATGCGAACGCCAACCAGCTACGAGGAAGAAGAGAGCACGGTTTTACATGCAGTCACCACAGACCATTTTTAATCTTGCCTTGCCTAAAGCCTTTGAACTACAGTTGACAGCACAGAGAATTAATATTCCAGCACCTGCTGCACCGGCAGTAATAACAGACGTGACTTCATGACGTAGCAAGTAACGCTAGGTTGTGCCACGCTCAGGTAAGCCACAGGGAACACAGCAACACAAGAATAAGTGTCAAAAAATGCCAATCGCTGCTAAGCATACCCAAAACGTGTAAGAATGAAAGCTCCTATGACAGAACCATAAAAACAGCATGCTGCCCACCAAAGACACAGGTGCATCCCACGGCAGAGACCTACCGAGGTGAAGGGATTCAAGTCCTTGTTGAGTTCTTCCGATCGCTTCAGGACCAGGGTTACAGGTCCGGGAGCAGGTCCCGTAACAGCTCATCCGGCACGTTCACATGGCAGTACCTACGGAGGGAGAATCGGGCTATGAAGGATGGTGAGAGGCAGCTGCAAGAGCCCTTCCCCATCAGCCTCACGCCCTGCAGGCCAATAAGAGGGGAGCTGCCTCTCCCTGCCCCAGCCGTCCCGGCCCCCGGTGGGAGGTGGGCAGCTCACCGGTAGATGTGCTCCACGTCCCCGAGGCAGATGGCCAGCGGCTTCCTCCCGTTGCGTCCCTTCAGGCCGTAGATGCTCCGCACGCGCGGGAGTCCTGTGCCAGGCAGGCCACGCCGTACACCGTGTCTGTGGGCACCGCCACCAGCCCGCCAGCCTGCAGGGCACCGGCGGCGGCCGCCAGCACCTCCGCCCAGCCTGGAGACAGCGACGGGGGCTCAGCAGGAACCGGCCTCGCCCCCTCAGGGCCCCCTCAGGCCCCTCAGGGCCCCCTCAGGGCCCCTCAGGGCCCCCTCAGGGCCCCCTCAGGGCCCCCTCAGGGCCCCCTCAGGGCCCCCTCAGGGCCCCCTCAGGGCCCCCTCAGGGCCCCCTCAGGGCCCCCTCAGGGCCCCCTCAGGGCCCCCTCAGGGCCCCCTCAGCCTCCCCCCTCCCCTCAGCCCAGGCCCGGCCGCGGCCTCAGCCTCTCCCGTGATCCCCCCACGCACCTCGGGGGCTCGTCGGGGCGGCGGCGGCGGCACCGGGAGCACCAGGGGGCTGCTGCAGGCGCGGCCCAGCCCCGGTCCAGGTCCAGGTCCCGGTCCCGGTGCCGGTCCCGGTGCCCCCTCCCGCCCCTTCCCACCCCAGCCAGCGCCCTCAGCATCCGAGCAGCCTCTTCCGCTTCCGCCCGGAAGCAGCCGCGGCGTATTTCCGGCCGCCGTTGCCATGGCAACGCAAGCAGCAGTGAGGCCTGCGGGAGGCTCCGCTATGGAGGCGGCCGGGGGTAGCGAGCCGGAGCCGCGCCTGGTCGGTGCTGCCGGCCTGAGGGAGGACGGAGCGGGACGGACCGGGACGCACCGGGTCCTGCCCGGCTCGCCCTGCCCCGCCCCGCCGTGACCCGCTGTTCTCCGCGCCCGCAGGTGGAGCGGCTGCGGGGGCTGCGGAGCCTGCTGGAGGCCCGGCAGCGGCACCTCCGCACCCGCATCGCGGCCTGCGAGGAGCTGGCGGTGGAGCTGCAGGGGCTGAGAGCCGCCCTGGGCGCCGCCCGCCGCTCGCCGCCCGCTGTAAGCGCGGAGAACGGGGCCGCCTCTCCTCCCCCCACCCCCCAGAGCCCCGTAGCCGGCTGTGCTGTGCTCAGTGGTGTTTTTCTTTTCCTTTCTCGCTCCCCAGGAACCCGCCCCGGGCGGCAGGAGGGCTCTGCCTGCGGAGGAGGAGGAGAAAGAGGAGGCCGACCCCTGAAATGCCTTGAAGGGACTGCGCTCCGCCTGCTCGGGGGGATTTCTCCGAGAGTTTGTCTTCGTACAGGGTCTGGGATGTGAGCACAGCTGTGCAAGCACAACTAAGAGGGACTAAGCGTTCAGCTAAAGGCTCCAAAGCTTTTTACATAACGCCAGGAATAAAATAATAATAATACAACTCTATTATAAAGTCAGGGAATGTAGCTTATTCCCCCAGTTGTGGCCTTGGAATTTGCTTTCTTGTCTTGCACTGATATCATATCTTGCTCGATTTGCACTTAAAGCAAGATTGGGGGTTGTTATCAGATGCCCTGCCTAAGAAGAGGCTGGCTGCTGCTCATGTGGAGGCCATAGATCTAAACAGATTGTGCTAGTTTGTCTCAAGTGTTGACTCTTTCCCTGAGTCCACTGTTAACAGGATCAGGAACAGTTAATGACTAACTTGATGTTAAGCATGAAAGCTGTGAATTGTTCTGTGGGCAGTGACCCCGATATCTCTGATAAGGGGGCTCCTGAAGTAAAAGATGCGTGAGCTGAGGTGCATGAACCAGCCACAGGTTGCTGTGTTCAGAGGTCTGCAGCTGCCTTTCACCTGCATTTTTTGCACAGGAATGTTTTGCTGCCCTGAAGCCTGATTCATGCAGTCTGTGTTCCTTGTAGCTGGTAACATCCTCTGAGTTCCCACTGTATTTATTGCAAAGTGCTTAACGACTAACACCTTCCACTCAAGGATGCTAAAGCTGCCATCTGGACCAGAGGAGGCTCGTTTTTTCTCATCTGTACATCTTCAAATGTTTGTGTTGTATTTATGTTTGCCATAAATTATAAACCCTGCCTCGAGCACAGCTGCTGATTGCAGGAAAGGGGCTACACAGGAGCTCACTGTTAGCAGAAATGAGCAATTTGTAGATTCACAACAGCTGCTCTAACTCTGAGCCATCCCTGACTGAACTGAGGTTATGAAGTTTGTTCCTGAATGCTGCTGGTGGGGGAAGGCAGGAACTGACTGGGTTAAATGCTGTTGTCTGTCAGAATGTGGAAATCACTTCGTGTCCCGATCCTCTCTCTGAGCATTGTGCTCACATTCATTTCCCAAACGACGGATCAGTGCCCTGAGGAAAGACTATGTAACACAATGTTTAAATAAGCATTTAATTAGGATTCCATTAGTATTAATATTGCTTTCAATTCCAAAAAAGTTAATTTCCACTTCTTTGTAGATATTTCAAAGTACAATATTAACTTCATACAAAATGAGCAATTAAGCAAACACCATTATTTCACATTTTACATTCTTCAAAAAATACAAATTCATATTTACTCTTTTTTTTTTTTTGGGTTTTGGAGATGCTCTTCCTTTGGAAGTACTGTACCTGTAACTAACATCTTCACATTGCTCAATGTAAGCACATTTGTTCCCATGTTTCAGAGTTAAATAAATTCCTTTAATACCATAAACACATTCTTGAAAAACTGGGGTTCATTTCTTTTCTCATCTCCAAGACCATTGCCCAGCTCCCCGCACGTGTCAAACAAAACGAAAGCAGTGAACAGACAGCCTAAGGTTCTCCTGGACTCCCTGGTCTGACATTCTGCAGATGTCGATGCCGAGGACAACTTCAATAACCCGCCAGGCCTGAGGTTAGCGCGGCCCTGCCCGCCTCGCTGATGCTAGTCAGTGTGAAATGGAACAGCAACTGCAACTCTCTCTCCAAAACAAGGGTCAGACAGACAGCTCTGGTTCAAAAAGCAAGTGGAAGAGGACACAAAGCTACGCAGCGAGAAACACCAGCTACTGTCAGCTACGGTACTGCAAAAACATACCCTTGGTTTTGCTGAAAAAGATCGTATGAAAAAAATTTCTTGTAAGAAAAAAGTAGAAACTGCATTTATTTGAGAAAGTGTACGCTGCATAATGAACCAAATTTTGGCCAGCTTGCACACCACCAAAAGCATGGTGTGGGATTTTTAAACTAGTTCCAAGAACACACACACTTAGACTATGTACACTACTACATAAATATCCAGTTTAATTTGCATTTCTCAGTGCAGACACAGAATCCAACTTCTAGAACATCGGATATATATCGAGACAAGACGCAAAAAAGTTAAAAGTTCAGCCCTGTCCATGAGTATAACTACAGGTAACATTTATAAAAACTTGCCATTGTTTCCAAAATATGGTAAGGAGAAAATAGTATACCAATTAAAAACTAGGCGATCAGAAATTTGTAGGGTTTCTTCCAGACATGCTTTTTTTTGTTTGTTTGTTTTTTGCCTTAGGTCCAAATCGACTCTCACAATTCTGTCCAGCTAGCTCAGATTACTAACGCCAAGGACTTTCCCCTCGTAGATCTTAACGCATTTTACAGAGAAAGTTTCAACTTCCTTGTTTTACAGGGAGGAAACTGAGGCACGGAGAGGTTAAGTGTCTCGCCCGAGGTCGCGGAGCCAGCCAGCAGCAGGACGAGGATCCCGACACCGAGGTCCCCTCTGCTCTATCCCGGCCCTGGCTGCCAGCTGTTTCCAACCCCCACCCATCAGCAATAGCTCTTCATCTCCAATCAACCCCAAGGTCAATTACGCCCTAACGAATTTCCCCCAGCAGCTCCACAACCAGCAGGCCACTCGTTAATTGGTTCTCGAGCCGCATTTCTAATCGGTGCAGGAAGAGTACTGTAAACAGTTCAGCAATGTTGCTGCAGTTGCAAAAAAACAAGATCTGGGATGACTGCGGAAGTGCCATCCTCCGTGAAGTAAGGCAGAGAACAGGACATCAAAAACGATCTCGTGAAGACAAATTGTAAAGGTGCAACATGCCTGCTCCAGAACAGCTCGTCACTTCTGTGTCACTTCGGGGGAGAGGGGAGGACGAGGGAGAAGGGAGGAGGCAAGGAACGGGGTCGGAGGCGAGGAACGGGGTCGGGGGAAGGTACTAATTCCCTACAGAAGTGACAAGCAGCTCCCCAGAAAGCGTGAGAGAAAAGGCCTGCTAAAGCACAGTGCTCTCAGTGGGATATTTGCATAGATTGGACGTTTGCTAATGATGCATAATTTCTCTCGGGTACAGACAGGGTAGGGCAACACGTCACCGAGCTCGTCACTAAACACACTCCATCAGACAGACACAGACAGACCGACCACGCGGGACAATGATCTTTAGCTACAAGTATTGCACCAAGTTAAGTGCTCATCTTTGCACACCCCTGTTAACTTTTACTCAGAGCAAAAATAAACTTTGTGAAAGTATATACAAAAGAAATTGCAGCAATTGGGTTAAAGATAAAATAACCTAAAGTGCATTTTAGATACCAGTATGAGGTTCTGCGAACTAGTCTTTCAGGACACAGTTAGCATTACAGAAGTGCCCAATTCGTACTTTGTTCTATATAATTCAGTACCAGCATTGGAACAGTGCTGATTTTTTCATCCTCTACCAACTACGAGCATGAAAAGCAACTTCCACAGCCTTCAGCTGCATGCCAGGTTGCTTGCTTGGGTCACTGCTTGGCCGCCACAGCTACCGATGGTGGTAATTAGACCCCTTTGACATATTTAAGCTCCTGCACCCATCTAGAAAGTCTAAGGAACCAAGTAAATCCCCACAGGCCACCGAAGAGCAATCCTTTAACACAGAACGACCAGAGCAGCTCTGCTCTCTGACTGATCATGAAAGGGGTTGGGAAATGCAGATTTCGCAGCAGGGAGGGCACGCTGACGTCAGAGGCTCCAGCACACTGGCAGAACGCACCCCTTTCTGGGAATTCAACATCTTACCAGATCTGCAATGATTGGAACTCCATTCCTTACTAAAAATTGTATTGTGAATATGTGAAATGCCTGGGCAACGAGGGGAAGAAGGGCAGAAAGCTCCCTGGCACCAAGGATCTGAGGGCTTTGCTGTGACCGATGCCTCCCCTTGCCAGCCGCTCACGCGCCTCCTCCCAGCCGAGCGTGTTAACGACCACCCCAGCAGCACAGCGATCGCACGGCACTGGGGATAACACAAGCGGCCGTGTGGGGCACACGCAGCGTGGAACACTTGGGCAAACAGACCGACAGTTAAGAGCAGCACACAGCTCTACGACCACAACGGGCAGGCCGCACAGCTCGTGGCAGAGCAGGCTCTGCGCTCACAGAATCACGCCACTTGGCTCGTGACAAGCTCTAATTAGTTTCGCCTAAATTGCAGCCTGTCTGACACACACACGGGAGGGTAACTGCACACCCAAAGCACCTAGAAGTCAGCATGAAGCTGGAACACGTTGCTTTTCCTAAAACACCGACAGGACACAGTAGCTGTGAAGAGAAAGCAGCAGAGGGGTTAACCTCTAATCTCCACTCGGAAAGGATCTAAGCAGCATCCTACTGCTGCTAATTACCACACCTCCAAATTAGCTTCCAATTTCAAAGCCTTTGGTAGATGTTTGACTGATTTCTACCACAAAGGAGTTTCTGAAGATGCTATCTGGCCTAATCACCGAGTTTTAGGTGAACTAAGTCACAAGTAGCAAGACTAGCGAGGAAAAATGCTTCCCTGAAGGCTGGAAAGGCTCGGGAGAGGTTGCCAAACCCCCCAGCTGTCACATTTCGGGGCACATCTGGTACCCTTGTCCCCCTCAGAGAACACCCCACGACTCCAGGGGAACCTATGTGCTCCTGCGTTAGCAGATTCTCTCTCTCACACACACACGCACGTCCACGCACCCTCAAACACCACGATGCCAAGGGAAGGCAGGAGGCCACTCGGTGGGTCTCTGCCCCCTGGTGAAGCCCCACACACACTCCAGGCACCTCTCATGCTCCTTCAAGGCCAAGCTCTACACGAGGGAACCGGAGGACACTCATCCGTGGGCAGACAGCCCCAGCCACGCAGGCTCGAGGCTGTTTTTTTCTGTGTTCAAAGCAGTTTCTTGCTGCCATGCAACCGAACTGCATCACAAAACGATACTGTAGGGGGAAAAAGAAGAGAAAAAAAACAGAGGGCCACCACCACGCTGTCCTCAAGGTTTACCATGACTAGAACAAAACATCAAATGCTTTGTCAATCCACATTTCACGGACGCAGACCTTATTGCTGCAGGAGCCACATCCCCTCCATGATGGCTGCACAGCACCGCGGCTGAGCCAACGCTCAGAGAGGAAACACGATCGGCGCGTTTCCAGTTCAGTTGATGCCCCTAAGCTCGTCACTGCAATTAGCAAAACCCCAAGCGCTCTGCCCTAGTCGAGTGGCACGACACGCAGCACAGCCTCTCCTCCCTCACGCTCATCCTAGTGGCACAACCCTAGCTTCACCCTTCGGCGCTTAAAAAGTGGAAAGGAGATGTCGGAGAGGTGAGAAGCCAGCTCCCTTCAGCCCGCTTCCATCTGTGCTGTGGCAGTGCATTTGCAAGGGAATCGAAAGAGAGATAGCTGAAGCCACTGTTCTGGCTAAAACCATGACAGTGACGTTGGTAAGGCTACACAGAGCATGTCACCAGAGGGTTAAAAACCTCCAAATCCTCGGGGATCCTGGGGAGGTCTGGCTGCATTCCTACGATTCTGTCCCCAGCAGGTGCAGAGAGCAGCTTTGATCAAATAGGAGCAAAGAGCAGTGAAAGACCTCTATCCACTAGGAGACTGCATTCCTAAATTTAGTGCACAGAGACACTCCACGTTAATTGGCTTACAGTCGTTATCTTTGTATCTCACTAATAACAACACTGTAAACTGAATAAAGACTATTTAATATTCTTTCCTTTAACACAAAAAGACTGACAGGCAAAGCCATAAAGATGGATAAAACACTATAAAATTACATCTTTTAAAATAATGCAGCATAAATAAACCATTTAGAATGAGACTGCATTTATTGCAACATTACAGGCTTTTTGGTGGAAGGGGGGTTTGTGTTTTATTTACCCTGAGTAGGTTAGAATATAGACTTTCAGTTTGATATGAAAAACTACTATGTCGTGTAACATCTTTTAGTCAAGAAATAGCCCCGTGCACAAAAGCTGGCATTGCAGTAGGTTGGAGGCAGATTCAGGCAGAAATCATATAGCTTAACAGAAAGGAGGAAGCGTTTCTGGACAACTGAAGGATAAACTCACTGAATTCAAATGGAATTTACGGCAAATCGTTCTGGAAATTTTCCTAGGTTTGTTCTTGACAAAAGATGATAGTAACCAGCAAAGGCACCATGCTCCTGATTAAACAGTCAGAGGGCTTGTTTAAGAGGATGACTTGTTTCTGAACAGAGCCAAGTAAATCAAAAGAGCAGCAGACACCGATCTGACTACGTCTGGAACTCACTGCATCCTTCAAAGAGAGGCAAAGGAAACAGACTCATGAGTCTGAGCGAGCAGGGGCTCCGATTGTGTTTCCGTGTTGTGAAGCAGTGTACCTGCCAACACATCTCAAGTCCTAATGAAATTAGATGAACAGATCTATCAGGAGCACAAGCACCCTGTGCTCTGCTGAAATAAGCTCCCCAAAAATGTCTGTAGGCTTTAGTAATAGCGTTAGTACAATGCAAATCCAGGCATCACCTCCCAACACAGTGATGTGACAATCACATTCCAAAAAAATTGCAGATAAATCACCTTCTACTACAATAAAACCATTTTCTGCTACAGCAATTTCCTTTCCCGGGCTCCCCTTATAGTGCATGGTTAGTATCAGACACAAGAGACAAAGAAAATTATAGACCCAAGGAGTTGTAACAAAGACCCACTCGCTGCCAGTACCTTAAATTCCAAACATAAGTGATGTGCAATTGGAGACAAACTAACCCCCCTTTTTCTTTTTAAAATCTTTTTGCACACGAGTAACCTTAACTTCCGTGTTCACATATGACAAGCAAAAGTGACAGACAGTGCAGCCAAAACAGTTCATATATAACTTAGCTTTTTTTTTTTGACTTTTCTTTTTTTTTTAAGATAGATTCTCAAAGATGGATGTACCTGGGATGTGACTAAGATGACATCTGTGAAGCAGAAATAAGCCACAAAACTTCCAGAGAGGAAGGAAAAAGAATCGATCCTTCAGTTTCTGCTTCTAAGGAGAAGGGTTTTACCCTCCAGGTGCAAAAGAAAATCTGGAACATCTTCATTTAGAGAAGCTGCTATTCAAACCAATTTCTTCCTCACCCTGCAGTAGTGCTTCAATTGGAATTATATTGGATGGGGTTTCAGGGCTTTGGAGGGACAGGTAGTCCGATACATCCATGGCACTTAATGTTTCAGTCTGCGAGTCTGAAGGGGTAACTATCTGACTGCTCTGCCCACATGAAGGAGAAGGGGAAGAGGAAGGAAAGGTCTGAGGCTGCAGCTGGGGAGCTGGCTGCTCCGAAGCTTTCGTTTCAGGTGAGGGACATTCCTTCTTACTGGTGGCTTTGTCCTTGGCAGAGTCTCGGCAGGCACACTGACACTGGCAGGCCTCCTCCTGCTTTATAATGATGACAGGAACGCTGAGACCAATCTGCTGAACGGGGCTTCCTGAAGGGGAAACAGAGTTCAAGACACACATAACCAAAATGCGTAATTCCACCACGGGGAGAGACAAATCACTGTTAAGATTTGACCGTATGCACCTTGCAGAAGAGATTACGCACTATTTTTTCAAGCACAACGAATACCCCTAGCAAATGATACATAAATAAATTAGAGGTGCTCTCTCCTGATGAGCAGCCTGTACAGGTTGAACCCAGACCTAAGAAGCCTGGTCTAAAGAGATCTTACCTATTTTTGACTATGATTGATTCAGATTTGCAATATAATAATACTGTACAGAAAGCACATTACAGAACAGAACTTCTGTGGCTGTGTATCATTTAGATGAATCTTGCAGATAGTACTTACCAAAAACAATTGCTGAAGAACTGATTAAGTTTACCACTTTACTGCCCGTTTAATGTCTTCATTTAAAAGAACAGAACACAAATTATGTCCTTGCATTTGTCTTTTGTTCTTCTACATATGTTCCATTAAAACATCATTCTACTTTTATGAAATACTTATTTTTATACAGCACATCTTTTTATAAATCCTAGATCTAATTTATGGTTATCTTACAAGTTGTTAGAAAAAATACTACAAGACAGATCTCAGCACAAAGCCATAAATCTACTGATTGCACTTAAAACCTCAGGAAGATTTGAAAAATTGAGCGATTTTCTTCGAGACTTCTGCAAGCGATTAAATCACCACAAATCCTGGTTAAGCCAACACTACTGCAAACAAGCAAAGAGGGAAAAGAAGGTTCCATGTCGAACATGCTTACCTGTGTTGCCAGCTACTGGTAATGCAGTGGTAAAAAAAACCTTTTCTACTACTTTCGGAACTTGTGGCTTAAAGGAAAAAAAAAAAGAAAAAGAGAGCATGAGACGATTCGAAACAAATTTCTACTGTTCAACCTCCAAACAGCTGCAAGCAAAAGAAACATAAATATACGCTTTCCAAAGAGAACACGCGGGGAAACTAATAAAAAAATTAGCATTTGGTTTGGTTCTCTGCTATGTTCTGGCTATTCCGAAACTAAGAGTAATATTTCAGTAGTCCTAAAGATGGGGAGTAAACTCCCTCTGCACTACATGCCTGTTATCACAGCTTGTTTTGACAGCTGAATGACTGAATTCTTAAAAAAATTGCCGTGCTCGCTCATACTGCTTGTACTTGCAGCCTTTCATTCTTACTTATTTGCAACTGACAAAACCTAAAGTTGGCAACAGAACTGCTTAAAGATAAAACACAGTCTTCAATATCCAGATTTACTGGAGAACCAGAAACATCCCATTTTCCCAGAAAACGTATTATCTTTATGAGGCTGCATTACAAAGAGACAGAGATTACAAAATGTCTGAATGCTGAAATTTTACAGTGTCTTTTGTACTTGTCAAAAGGAATAGAATAAAAAACATATTCTCAGGCCATATGGTGCAGTGTCCTGGATAAACCAGGTTGCTATCTTCTGTGAGAAGTTTGTCACTTGGGAAAAGAAGGAGAAAACAAGATTTCTATGCCCTTGGGATTTCTCTGCATCTATTCTCTATTTATTTCTCTATTTTAGGGGCTGCATTGGTGACGTTTTTATCAATATTAATACAATAAGCTTTATATAATACTGCATCCTGGTTTGGATCTTACAATTCCAGGTTTGATCCCCTTTTTTTTTTTCCCAAGGGGAAAGACTCTATGAGGAACAGGGATGGTTCAAGCTATTTCAAAGCTAAGCTAGATATACTAACCATTTGTTCTTGGCTTTGTGGAGAACCAGTGGCACCATTTAATATCCATTGCAAGTTTTGCTCTCCCATGACAATGCTGGACTGTAGAATAGCGGTGCTTTGAGAAGGAGTAATTGTTATAGTTGGATTACTGGTCAGAACAGAGTTCGCACCAACAGGCACAGTCTGAACCACAGCTGGCAGGGGTTCAGTGGCACTTGGTGCTGTCGGGGCAGGAGCCCCAGCAACCACTGAAAGTCCTTGTACAACGGGCTGCGGTGGTGTCTGAGTGTGCTGCAGGAAGTCTTGGTGACTGGCTGGAAACTGTGTGCTGTGAGGAACAGGCACTTCTGGGGATTGTAAAACAGTTGCAGGATTTCCAAATGCAGCTTGCTGTGAGCTGGTTCCTATGGAGGGAGCAGCGGGTGCTGCTGAGGCTTGTAGTGCTGAATGCGAAGGCTCAGAGATGCCAAGCTGCAGTACGAGTGGAAGAGACAACGATGCTGAATCTCCTGCAGAAGGCGGAACAGCAGTGACCGAGTCTGCATGACCATTAAAAGCTTCAATCAAGGCAGCTGCCAGAAGAAACAAAGAAAATATATAAATACCTCAATTCTCATAAGGTCTGAATAAACAACCTTTTCAATAAACTTATCAGCTAGCTAATAGATTTTTGCTCAGTAAAGCACTACCACTTTGAGCTCAAAAACATACAATACTAGGCAATGAAATCTGAAGGTAGGTCCAAATTCAAGAAGCTGCTAACACTGAATACTACACACTAGCTGATCAGCCCCATTAGCCCTCTTTCCAAAGCCTTTTCATCAGCAGGCTCATGCAGCTACATCAAGAGAGGAAGTTCAAAGATAACACAAACATGAAGTCCAAGAGCGTCACTGTACAACAGCCTGTGTAAATACATGGTCAGTTCCCCTGTCACTGCCCAAGTGTTACATCATCCGTGAATGTATTTCAACACAAAAATATTTCAACACTGAAGCTGAAGTTGTCGGTTTGCTACTTAAACTATGTGGGGCAGTAGTCTTCAGTCTGAGCTGCTGATTCAAACACTTGCATGCAGAGAGAGAAAACTGTCAAAAAACTCTCTCTTAAAATAGTGCAGAAACAATTTGTACCTGTCTGCTTAGAGTCTTCCTGATTTGTGGTATGATCTGGGCTCTGAAACATCGACTCAAAGATACTTGCTGGTGAGATTGTGCTCAGGTCTTGTCCATGTGTCTGGCAAATAGAAAAGACAGGAAGATATCAGATAACATTCCATCTCAGGTCTCTATAAACTTTGCACGAATCCCAGCCAGGCAACATATCAATGTCAGAAACACATGCCCAGTTAACCAGCCACCTTCAGGAAAGGTACATAGTTCATGTACCTAGCATAAAATGTAAAATGACACTTAGTTTTTATTACCCAAAATCAAATTTACCAACATAATGAGAAAATCCTTACAAAAATAAGCAAAGCCTTTCAAAGTCAAATACATTCTTCTCATTTATACTTTGTTCAACCTTTATTTACTGTAATACTCTACTAGAAACTGAAACAGACATTAATTCGGTCTTTTTTTTTTTTTTTTTTTTGCAAAACCTTTTCTGGAGCAGAAATAAAATAACTCTGCTTAGACTATATCCTGAACTATGCACTGCTGTCACCCACACTGCTATCAGAACAGAATATATTAAAAACCTGCATGCTGCTTCCACGTTGAAGCACAAAATAAGGACATAGTCTCATCAGCATATAATTTTCCTTCATGTAAAATTTAAGCTCAGTCAACAGTTAACTGCAAGCAAGAACATCATTATGGTAAAATCAGATGCTAAGCTTTTAAAAACAGCTTGATTTAATCACTGCATATTTTGGAAGAAAATCCATCTCTTTCACTTGGCTATTCTGCTGTTAAGACTTCAGAGCCATTGCAAAAAATAAGCCAAAGCTCTGTGCTGAAAGTGCCAGTAAAGTGCAATTGCTTCCTGAACAGGCTCTTCAAGTACTCACAAGTTTATTCACAGATGTGTTTGTGAAAAGATGCAATCTATTTAAACGACACCTGGCAGCTAATATTTAATAACCTAATTAGGTGACTGTGTCACTCAGCAGATTACTCTATACAAGTGACCCAACTTAATACCTAAAACCAAAATCTAAACAGGAAAGACCAGGGAACAAATCCAAACAGTGGGGATGAAGATGGTTTAAACATGTCCTACTAGTTCTTCTGCAGAATAAGTTTTTCCTTTTCAGTAATAAAGATCTTACTCAGCAGTACAAAAACAATAGCTTGCCTTCTATTTGCTTATCTGTATTCCTGTCTGAAGCCTTCGAGATGCAAGCTTGCCATTCTTAGTCTGGACATGTATAAATTCCCCCACTGAAGCACAAGAAACATGCTGAATAGTGTATCAGCTAGTTACCTGTTTCATTCACTGTTCAGCCAGCTCTAATCCTACAGCTCAGAGCTGATCATAGCTACATCTCTGGCATATATTGGGTAGTAACATAATATCTAATTTGTATTCACTATTCACTTCAAGCTGATTCATTTTGACCAAATGTTATTTTCATATTGAAAATGAATGCTAGAATTATTTTCTTTTGTGACACAATATGTCTCTTCCACTAGAGAAAGGGAAGTCTAAAGGAGAGCACGCTGGAGCAAGTGAAACAGAAGCAACCAGTCATACATATCTAATCTGTGTTCCACTCAACAGGACAGATATGTTGCTAGGAAAAAACAAAACTCAAATTATGGGTGAGGCAATCCAGGGACAGTAACTCACTAGATTAGAGTTCTCCCGTAGTTCTGAATCTGTTGATATGAGGCTTAAGTCACTCAGACAGAGCGAGTGGCTTGTATCCTGCAAAGAAGAAGAAAAGAAATGGGGTTAAATATTAAACAATAGTGGCAGAAATGTTTCTAATTACTTTTTGAAGTTCATACAATATAAGAAGAGCTATTCTGTCTACACAGATTTTTTATTTTGTTTTGGTTTTATCTATGGATGACCCAAGTCTCAGTTCTAAAATCTAAGGAACAATATTGCTAAGAAAAACATATTTAGCTGCTCTCAAGGATCTTAACATCTCCCACATTGCTTTGCAAAAAAATTAAGCAACCTAGAACTGCAAATTAGCATATGAGCAAAGCAGCCTGTAGAATATAAAAAGTCAAGTCATTAACAGTTAGTGTTTATTTTACTTCACACACATATTACGAAGTGTTGAGTGAAACATTAGAATCTACAGGGAATAACTTGATAATGTATACAACTGCCTATATGCTTGTGCCAGTACTTGCTAGTCATCCAAGCAGCAGCAGCCCAAGTGTTAATTTTAATGTGATTAAAATGAATACACAAACTTAGACATGCTTTTCTAAATAAAACTTCGTAACCAAATGCCATGCTACAAGTTTCAGAAATGCTGATGCCACTCTTTATTATCAGTGTGCTGTGAACACAGCCTACGAGAAGAAAGCCTACACTTCCACCTTGAATGCCAGCAATTTCAGAATTGAAATTGAATTCTCAGTTCAAAAAATAAAGGCCACCACCAGTGACTTCATGGGAGATGGGCATTGATTATAATTTCATTTGAAAATCTCAGCCTTAAATGTTACACCTTTAAAACAAGTTACAGACCAAATAATTTTTTTCACCAAAGGAAGGTTTTGTCTCTACCTAAACCAGAAGCATCAGGAAGAAGAGCTACTAACCTCAGACACATTGTTATTGGGAAGTGCATTATAGGAATGTCCTTTCTCATGACCTTTCATGTGACTCTTGAGACTATACTGTGTACTGAAAGTCTTCTCACAGCCATTACTGGGACAGAAGAAAGGTTTCTCCCCTATAGACAGCAAAAACCAGACATAAGAAACATACAAGCTTACATAAGATACTGTTAAAGCACATAGAATAGCAATAGTATTTTATACAAACACGGTTGTTTTTCTCCAACACAACTTGTTATTACAAAAAGTGAAACCTTAGCTAAGTTAAGTATATTCAAACTCTTTCTGCACCAGAGCACATCTTGGTAAGAAAAAGAAGTACCTTGGTTTCTGTACAAATTGCTACTTACAGCCAAGCCAGCAGCACCAACAGCTAACTGAAAGAGCAGTTCCTTAACTTACTATCACAATGGCCCTATTCAAAAGACTGGGTCCCACCTTATAAACAGTCTTAATAATACTCTGCAAAATGGTAGGTAATTACTATACGACATGTTGGAACTTGTATGAATAGATTTGAGAGTCGCTATAATGCCACATAACACATTCGTCATTCTTGGAAAGAGGCTTGTAAATAAAAGGTTCCATTTTATCAAGTGAACTGACACAAGAACAGAATGTTTAATTTCTGTGCATCACTACTGACACATCTGTGAAACACGCTGATGAAATTCAAGACCTGTCAGGCATAAATGGAAGTGACTTTTCTCTGTGGTTCAGCTTCTTTGTTCTCAGCAGAAACATGAGCTGAATTTTTTATTGTCCACCCATTTTTTTATGTTACCAGTGTGCTTGACACAGGTCATAGAGGAGAATCAGGATACATTCCTAGATATCTCCAGGAAAGAAGTGATTTATAGCTGACTCACTAACTTACATCTATTTGCATAGCTGTATTTAAGAGTCCTGAATGTATTGCGTAACTTAAAAAATAAAATCAATGGTGCCAAGACTGATCTAGAAGAACCTTTCTTTTTTTTATGAACTACATCTAAATGTAAAAAAATAAATAAATACAGCACTGCCTGATAGGAAAAATGTGTAGTTAAATGTCCCTGCTAGGTTATTTTATATGCAAGTTTAAATACATATTGAGATTCTGAGAGTTAGTATAAACTGCACAGGCTCAATAAAATAAAATAAAATAAATCGTTGGGACTTACCAGTATGTGTCCTAACATGTGTTTTGAGGTGGTGGCTTGCAGCAAAAGCCTTTCCACAGCCGTCATGCTCACACCTGAATGAGGCATCAGGGAAGAGTTAGAATCAGGCTCCTTTCATGCATTTGTTACAACCTCATGTCACGTTCATGTCACAGGACTCTGAAAGGGGGCCTGCCACCAGTCTCTGCTAGTACCAGGTATGTCCCTACAGCTGCTATGCAGGCTGCACAGACTTATCTTAAAGAATAAAAACAATGGTACCAAGACTGATCTTAGAAGAACCTTTCTTTTTTTATGAACTACATCTAAATGTAAAAAAAAAAAAAATACAACACAACACTGCCCAATAGGAAAAATGTGTAGTTAAATGTCCTTGCTAGGTTATTTTATATGCAAGCAGAACTCTGAATGTGACTTTAAAAGTCAAGAATGAAGTCATCATTTGGGGTTGTGGGGGTCTCCTTCATGGAATAAACTCTACATCACATCACACAAACACCAATATGTTTTATAATCGTGCTTATCTTGCAATGCACTATTCCAGTCACTTGAAGACAGTTATTTCACCCACTTTTACAAATAACTAAGAGCACTCTAGAAGAAACATACTCAAATGCTAGCCTTTTTTTTTAATGGGAATAATTTTTCATTAATGACAGTAATAGCTGCCATTTGGCACAGGTGATCCATTACAGAAGTTCTAGAGAAGTGAAAATTGCCACCCAGCAACCTACCGAAATGGCTTTTCTCCTGTGTGTGTTCGAATGTGCTTCCTCAGGTCACTGTGCGTTGTGAAGTATTTACTGCAGCCTTCTGATTCACAGTTAAATGTTTTCCCTGTGTGAAGCCTCTGATGTGCTTTCAACCTAAAAAGCATGCACAAAAAATCCCTTTTATGGTCTGTAGTACAAGCCAGCCCCTCTCTGAGGCAAGCAAGCCATTCATTTAAACGTGAGGACAGGATTAAAGCTTAATGGAAGTAATTGATATCACTCCCAAAGTCCTCACACAAATCTGAGAATTCCTTGTTTTTGTGCAGCATCTTCAATACTACCACAAAATAAATACACTATGTTATTACAAGTTCATCATCCTGGATGGTTATACCATCTTGGTATGGCTTTTTCACTTTTTGTGGAGTTTTAATTTGCATCTGTACTTGGAAAAATAATAACAATTGTATTCAGACACAAACAACAAGTAGATGTAACTTGCAAAAGAGCAGCAGCCACGTCTACATGAAATACGCAGAGAACCCCTACCTATACAGTGTATTGAATGCCTTTTCACAGCCCTGCACATCACATTCAAACGGCTTTTCCTTAGTGTGCACTCGAACGTGGATTTTGAGGCTGTAGGAGGTAAGAAAGGCTTTGCCACAGCCTTCTTGATTGCAGACAAAGGTGTACTCCCCACGGTGTGTCTTTTGGTGAGTGCGCAGGTTTCCGGCAGTGCTATAGGTGCGCGGACAGCCCTCGAAGGTGCACTGGTATCTCTTAACCTGGGAGACAAAATATTGTAGGCTTAATTTTTAAGCATTTCTAGAATCCAGGCAGGGTAGAACGCCAGTTAAACATCAAAGACGATGCGATAGATTCTGACTTCAAAGGCAAAAGAGGGGAGGGAGGGGGGAATTGCAGTTTAATCATCAGACTAATTAATACATCTGCTGTACTATGCGAAGAAGCAGGCTGACCTTAGAGAACAATAGGAAACTAATAAAAGAGGGGGGAAAAAAGGGAAAAAAATAATTCAAAATACATCTAGTTAGAAATCAATAGCTGAAAAGAAGCCTAATAGGCTAGCAAACCACCTATATTTCACTCCGGTGCTTACAGCAGAGCTCCTATTAATGGCTGAAGATAAAGGAAGATGAACCTTAACACCCTGAATGAGAACCACGGTTTCCAAAATCTCCTACAGCCTCCATCAGACCATTTATTACTTAATTTTATCTCAAAGGCAGCCGTCGTTGCGCTTTGTTCTTCTCTTCTGCTTTGACTTAACCAGTAAATGGATGAAGTGCAGGGACTCAGACAACGTGCTTTCCATCCCAGGTCAGTGTCACAGATTCTCAGCCAGCTATCTCCATCACCAGGCAGCAGTTTCGTACTGGACTAGATCTGACTGTCTTCCCAGCCTCTACTACAGGCAGAAAAAAGACCACGGAAGAAGCTTCCTGTGTGCAAGTCATAATGCTTAATTAAATCTTAGTCTCTCTTGTGAAGTAGAAGGAATAAGCCATCTGATATGCTCGAATAATCTCCCTCCAACATTAATTATCAGACTGACGGCTTTCATTTGACTGCTGCCGTTGAGAAACCTTAACATCTAAAAGTAATTACAGAGCCCAGGAGAGGAGTTGATGGCTGACAGGCAAGCAGCAGAAGTGCATTCCAAAAGATGTTGATTCTGAAACATTTAAAAAGGCGATGCAAAGTCACAAGAGAGGAGCAGAAACTTGCAGATCTAGTAGTGTAATGACTAGACAGGAGGAAAATCTAGCAGGACACAGTCAGCAATCCTCTTTTCCAAGGTACAACCTGACAGTACTCAGTATTGCTGCATAAAAAATTAACAGGTACTGAATTGTGGGTTGATACCGGGAGAAGTGGATGAGCCTGTACATGACACATTAACACGGGTTTCCACCCATCTCGTGTCTCAACAACTGTCCTTCACTTTTTGCTTTATATATACACCCATCAGAAAAAAAAACATTTGAAACTCATTGTTTTATTACCACAGATGGGGGTATGAAAACAAACTAACACAGGACTCCTTGACCTGTGCTCAGGTAAGTTTAAAATCACTTTAGTTGTAGTCACACTCCTGTCAGAAATATCTGGCACTTTGGTGGGTGCCGTGAGCAGCAGCAGGACAGCAGAAGCACATCGTTCTTGTGTGCCTAGGAATTGAGTATTTGTTAATCCTTTCATAAAATAAGTAATTTGATTAACGCTTTGCGTAATACCACATCAGTGAAGGAACAGGCCCTCAGTAGGAGCAGTATGAGATCTCCAAATGACTCCACACCACACTGTTTTGCCCAAAACTCGTCTGCCATTCATGTTACACAATGTCGTAAGAACAAGGAGAATGGAGGGGATCTGGGACACATTATATATGATGCTAGCAGTTGTTGGCACTGTTGAAGACTGCATCAGCGCTAGAGGGTCTGAAGGAAGGTCCAAAGTACCAGCCCTTAGTGCTGTCAGGGGAGCCACACATGTTCAGCATTTCCTCTTAGGAACATGACTGCTAGATCCCAACGACGCGAGGACATCTAAATAGCCCTCCAGGAAGCAGTGTGGCCAGGCAGTGCCCCAGCATAAACACAAACCCCAATTTTCACTGGGATTAAGGGCAGATAAATAAATAGTAACACCGACCTATTTTCCTTGTTTCGTAGGGTATGAAATTGTTGGGATGTGATTCAAGGAAGATTTATAAAACGTGAGCGGACAGGAGCTGCAAAATCTCTTGGGTGGTCTCGAGCTGTAGCCTCTTGTTGGTACCACAAGTGCAGGCTGGCATTCACCTACACCTGCTTTTGATAAAACCTTATTGTTCGGAGGACATTACAGCAGGTTACGTGTACAAGAATACAAATACCCTAACTATGACACTAGAAAGACCTGAGTAAATTAACTAGGAGCAGTTTTCATTCTGGGTAGCGCTGACTTGACTCCTGCCTCATGAATATCTGATGCTAACAGCATATTGCTCACTGGAGGTGAGTTTTCCAAGCTTTAATATCAACGCTCATCTCACTACGTGATTAATCCAGGGCGAGACTTTACTCCGAACTGGAGCCTCGAGCTGACAACTGCTCAGCCAAGCAACCAGCTCTCCGCGCTTCTCCAGTTGTGCATGACAGCTGACAAACATTATCCCCCAGAACTGTAGCCACCGTGAAAGACATTTAGCTATCACAAAACTCAACGGGGAGGAAACGAGAGCTAAAGAAGTTACATAGGATGCCGAAGAGACAGAACAGTTTCAAACTAAGCTTTTTGCCATAGATGCAGAAAGAATATGGGTAACTGTCTCCCAGTAAGGGACTTCCTAAAAACTAGAGCTCAGAAGTCTTACCAGACTAAAGACTTTCCTTTTTCAGAATATCACCTCCTTTCGATCCTTACTACGTTTCCATCTAGCACTGGAGACAGGATTTGGTTTCTTGCTTTGTTTTTTTTTTAAAAGGGACACAGAAGAGGACCCACTGTACACTTCACTGCAAAAAGCTTTAAATAATTAAAAAAAAAGCCAGTGGAGACATGATTCAGTTCCTTCTGACACTGTATTTGTTTCAAGAGTTTTCCTTTTATTTCTAAGGATGCTAGCTACCTCGGCTGCTCTCCACACAGGAGAGGTGATGAATTGTTAGGAGAACCCGTAATGAAGTGCTATGGTTGCACTCCATTGAGTGACAGCCTACCACGAAATTCACAGGCTGGAGCTCAGCCCTTCTCCTCTGACCCAAGCTTTACTCTAAAGCATTCCACTTCCTGCAGTTTTTCTAACCCAGAAATACACGTGTGTGACTGCCCTGGCAATGGTGTGCTGCACCAGAACCTGCTGTCAGTGTGGGCACCTACAACAGCACATGATGTTCTTCCACCCAGGGAAACTGAAAAGTTTTAGAGATGTTTGCATTCTTATCTAGTTGCTTTTAATAATACGAAGTGGTCTTGAGAGAAGGACAGTAATTTAACTGTAAAACAACCCACCCTCCAAATCAGCTGAAGTTGGTAAAAATATCTGGGCATTACAACAGTTACAAAATAATTAAAATTTGGTTGTGCGTTGAGGCTACCAAAACACAAGAGCATGGGCTGATAAAACACAGACACAAGGGCAGAAAGCACATTTTATTAGATCAAAGCGTGCGTGTTTTATCTTCAGGGTTCATCAGATTCAGCACGGTTTGTATCAGTACTGAGGGAAATGCTCCCCTTTGGAGCGTTAAGGCAGCTGCTGGGGAACATTTTACACATCGCATTACAGGGTATCTCATAGCAAAAGGGAAGCAACACAGATGTGAGCTGCCTAAAAATCAGATGAGGAGTCTAAGAAACCTTCTGTGCGTTTGCGTTTATGCCTAGACAGTGAGAGGAAGAGGAGGATATTTATTAATTAGTGATTAAGGATCTGGTCCCTGGCTGCTGATGCACTTCTCAAAGGAAAGTGGTGACAATTCCAGCTTAACAGCAGGACTATGGCAGAGGCCTTGCAGTCCCCCCCTTTTCTCAGAGACTAAATCTTTATTGCATGAACAGAAGGACACTGCGGACAGAAGCAATATTAAAACCGCATTATAAGCGAATAAGACTTGTAGAGCAGCAAAGCATTTAATTCTCATCTCACATTAGGAACTTGAGCACATCACACAAGCCTTACACACAGAACGATGCAGATGCTGACCGCGAAGGGCTGCGACAGAAAACACAGACAGCTGGGACACGGAGCACACAGGAATGGGTTGCTTTGGAGATAAAGGCCGGGGCTGTAGCACGTACACTTCTTGCAGAGGACAGAGTGCTACGCAGGAGATGCACCAGAGGGAAGCTGGAAGAGGCTTCGTTAGGCTTAACGAAGCATTTGCCTTACAAGTAGGACCTAATTGCCCACTAATCAACAGGACTCGCAAGAGCTGAGCCCATCACACTGACCAAAGGCCACTTACATTGCAGTTTGCCTTTATTTTCAGTTCTAGAGATTCCCTTCAAAATTGTATTTTTCCTGTGTCATCACTGAACAAAAGGAAATCAATGAAACTGAAACAGAAGACTACAATCACGTGTATTTCCACAGACAATTCTAGTGAGAGAGGCATATTGCAACACAAGGAAGTTGAAGGGATTAATGGAGTGTAACAATTTCCCTTCATACGTCTCTAAGATTGACTTGAAAGTTTAGGACTTTAAAGCATTCCTCTCAATTGTTAGAGCCGCCTCAGATGTTTTGGAAGTACCCAAGAATCGGACTGCTGGCACTCAGAGCTGACCCAAAGGCGCCGGAGTTTTAAAGTTTTTTTTCCTCCTGGCAACTTAGCAAGCATCTGAAATAATGGAACTAAAAAGGGGTTTGACAAGACGGAAGAGATTCTGCTTCCTCAGGGCTTATTTCCACTTATTTCAAATTATGGCATAATTCCTTCCCCCAGCTAGAAAATTTAAGCCAAGAGCTGGAAAATAAATTCAGATAAAGAACTTCACCAGGCAGTTCCAGGTCTCGCAAGCCTTTTAAAAAAGGGCAGGGTGAAGAAATAAAGCAGGCTAATCGCATGGGTAAAGTCATCACCACCAATTCAGCTAGCACACACTGTTCTCACACATTGCAGACTGCAAGCTGATCCTGCTACAAAAAGGAAAAGAAAATACTGGCATGACTGACACACCAAAATTAAACACTTCAGCAGCTAAGGAGGCAGGATTCAGCAGCTACAAATACGAATAATTGAGCAAAAGAAGTTCCTTATACTTTAACGGGTTTACAGAACAAACCTGGGTCCAGAATTTTGTGACTAATTGTGAAGCCGACCTCCCACAGCCACATTTCCTTGCTGCCGTGTGAGTGATAATCAAGGTTCCCTGCTAATCTAAATTATTCAGAGGATTCGAACCTAGCTTCCTTCCTAACAAGGGCTCATTTCTGCAATCCTCGCTCACACTATCAGTTACACATCACGTCAATGCTTCTACCCCCAGCCCTAGCAGAGACACTTGAATAAATTTAACTCGAAACAAGGTCCAAAAAAGCAATACTCAGTTGTTAAAAATGCCTTAGCATTGCAGGCAACTTTGCATTGCTTTTGCACCTAAGCAGTAAGAAACCTCCAAGCTTTCACCACTCTGCAAGCAGGCAGAATTCATCAGGGAAACAGAATTAAAAGGAATTTCTATTTTAAATATATAAACTCGCTTCAGCTGGTACTCTGAAGTTTCTTCTCAGTTCCCCCGTGAGTGGCACAGTAAAGCTATAAAGCAATTTTAAGTTTGGCACCTTCAGCTTTGTATTTTAGCTATTTCAAATAGGGCAGAATTTAAACGGTGATTTGGATGTGCTTTGCTCAGGAGCAGGGATCTCCACAGAATAACAGAGTTCACGTTCTTTTTACCTGTCTCTGAACTCAGAAAACAGTTCTCCAACTAATAAAAGGCCACAAAAAAATCACACACGCTAAAAATGCAAATGGGTTTTTGTTGCCACATTCTCCTGTTATCTAGCGTGTCACCAGATATGAAGAAACACTTCCTGGCTGCTTCACAAGAGAGCAGCAGGGCATGAAAGCGAAAACTGATGACGTTTGCAGCTCTGCTGCTGATACACCAACCTGTGGGACATGGTCACACCTACCTCCACGGGGCACTACTGTCACTAACAGCAACAGCCCGTGTAAGGGAGTAACTGCAGAGAACTAACTAGACATGAACCTTTAAGAACAGGGGAATCTGCTGCCTGCCTCCTGGCAGAAACATGTTTTCAAAGCATTTGAAGTCACCAGCTAAAAACTACTCAAAACGAACACGAAGTCTAGAAACGTTTTTGGCTACTTACTTCTTTAAGCTTGGTTTCTGGGCATTCAGACTGCAAAGTGAGTGTTGCTCCTTCGATATTTCGTGGCATAGGAGTCGAACCAGGATTTATCGTCAGGTGAATCTGATCCGGAGAAATTATATGTTGCACGTAACCCTGGGACATTCCTTCATGATCTGCTATTAAATGAAATCCTTCTTCATGACCCTCGGGTAAAAAAGGCAAGTGATCGCTACACTGTCCTTCATCCTCATCGTCCTCCAACACGCCGTGGTCCTGCTCTATGAGAACAGTCGTCCTGTCGTACACCGTCCCAGACGAGGAGGAGACCAGCCCGTTTTTAGCGGCGATAGTGGCGAACCTCATCCCGTTGTCCTCCCGGCTCAATTCCTCCTCCTCCGCCTCGCAGCACAGCGCGGTGCCCTCGGGGCTGTTCTCCCCCATGGCTCTCCCGCCGCTCACTGCGACATCCTCAGGCTGGGCCGCGACAGCTCATCTGCAACGGAGGAGCAAGACGGGGGAGGTCAGAAGGGACCGGGCCGGGCCTCGAAACCCCCTCAGGGACCGCCGCGGGCGGCAGCACCGGGCCGCGGGCGGCTCCTCACGGATCCCCCCCCGCCACCGCCGCCACCCCCGGGCCTCGAGCGGCCGAGCCCCGCCGGGAGCCGCCCCCAGGGCTCTCACAGCGTTCTCCCCCCGCGCCCCAAGCCCCGGGGGCCGCCCCCCGCCGCCCCCCGGCCGCGCTCACCGAGCCCCCGGCAGCGGCGGCGGCTCCTTCCCCGCCCCGGCGGCACCATGATTCCAGCGCACTCACTTCCGCTTCCGGCCGCGCGCGGCACGCCGGGAGCGCCGCGCCCCGCCGCGGGGGCTCCCGGGAAAGGGGGGGAGGGGAGCTGGGCCCGCCCAGGCGCTCGGGCTCTGGGGGTGAAGGACCCGGGTTCGAGTCCCGAGCCCGGCAGCAGCGCCTCTGTGAGGCGGGGGCACACAGAGGTGTAGAGGCACAAAATGTCCCAAATTGGACCCGCAAGGGTCACCGAGACCAAGTCCTGTGTGCTTTGGGTTCCGAGGGACGTTAAAGCCCACCCAGCTCATAGAATCCTAGAATTATTAGGGTTGGAAAAGAGCTCCAAGCTCACCCAGTCCAACCGCCACCCACTGACCGTGTCCCCAAGCACCACGTCCAACCTCTCCCTTCACCCCCCAGGGACGGGGACTCCCCCACCTCCCTGGGCAACCCGTCCCAACGCCTGAGCGCTCTTGCTGAGGAGAAATGTCTCCTCATTGCCAGCCTGAACCTCCCCTGGCACAACTCGAGGCCCTTCCCTCTGCTCCTGGCACAGTTCCCTGTGAGCAGAGGCCGACCCCAGCTCCCCACCCCTTCCTTCCAGGCAGTTGCAGAGAGCAATGAGCTCTGCCCTGAGCCCCCCTTCCCCAGCCCATATGTTTGAACCGTATGCCTGAGCAGAAAAAGCTCCAGCTGAGGCCATAACTGGTACTCAGCTCATCTTGTCCCTGTCTGCAGCTGCCCTGGCTCAGCAGTGTGGGCATCAGCCAGCAACTATTTTTGAAATGACAGGTTTGCAAGAAACTGTGTTCTTTCACTTTGACTGGATCACTGCCCCGTGGTGCTGCATGTTCCCACAGGGTTAGAGTACTGGGGAAAGCACAGAAATATTCATATAACACATCTGCTTTGCTACCACAGCCAACGTACTACTGGAAGTACTGTGGACTGGATCTGCTCCCTGCCTTTTACAGGTGTGACTTAAATCACCCTCAAATCAAGAATCGAAACCAGCCAACACTGAAATGGGGCAGACGAGCTGGAAAAAATGCACTGAGATGCTTTTATTTAAATAACAAGGACTTAAAAATTCTGAATTTTAATACAAGTTAAATACAATACAGTGAAAATATCAGCTTCTGTAGTTTTGCTTGTCTACATACAGCTTATTTAGAAATTCAATATATTTTACAGCTTATTAACAGTGACACCTGATTCTAACTGCCTGAGCTGCATTTAATAGCAATAGATTGTATAAAATACTGTGATATTCAAAAAAAAAAAAAAGAAAAAGCTGGTATACTGTACAAAAATATTTTTTACAGTAGTTTGATATTTAAAAATCAGATTAGCTGCATCTGGAATTCACGGTAAAGTGTCCTCTCTCAAGAGGAACTGGTGGATAAATTGCTGAGCTTTCCTTTTTTCTGCTATATCAGGTGTAGGATGTCCAGGAGGAGGTCTAAGTAACAAGCCACCAAATATACTAGCTGCATTTTTGAGAGAGAAAGAGAGAGAGAGAGAGCACCAGTCAACAGCAGGCTATCAAAAGCAATTCCACCAACCCCACTCAGTCAAAATGAGAGAGCGCCTTGTTTCAGGACGGGGTGAGATAAAGCTGACAACACGTGCATCTCTTCTGTGTCCCTTTACAAATTTTTGTCAGGCTACTGAAAGGACAGTGTGTTTCTATGGACTGTTTGATAATTAAATGCTTCAAAACAGTAGAAGCCATGACTGCAAGCACTTTGGAGAAACGTCTTCTGTTACACAAACTGAACCCCCCCTCTGAACAGAATGGTTATTTCACTCTCCTTACCAAGAATATTCACATCCAAATGGTTTTTCCCTGAATTTTTCAGTAGTTCTCGTAGAAAAGCCATTAGATACTCAAATACATTTTTATGGCATTCTGGCAGCTTAGAGATAATCTGGGTGGAGAAAACAAACAACATTTATACTGAAGAAATGGCAATGGCTTAGTAGCTTTATCTACTACCTGTCTGCAAACACAACAGAAACAGCTCTTAATAATCCAAGATACATCAATCTTAGATCCACTCTATTATGAGATGATTAAGTTTCTTAGAGCAAAAGCCTGTTATTTGTCTAGCATATACCAATCTGCTTCCCCCTCCTTCCAGAACAACAGAAACAGTCTCCCAGCAACGCTGGCATTACCTGGCTGCTCAGCAGGTAGTTGTTGGCACACTCCAAACAGCTGTTGTAGAAGCTGTAGCAGATGACCGGCTCTGGCAGGCTTTCCAGGAAGAGCAGCAGGGCCTCTGCTACCGAGTGGTTGCTGCCAACTGATCCAAAGATGGTTAAGGAAGAGGTGAGTACAGTATGGTCTATTTTGGTAGTATTTCTGCTAAAACATTAATCATTGCTTAGGTCTCCAGGAACTCCTGTTCTCCACAGCTTTGAGTCCACGTAGTAAACTCTGTTTCCATGGGCAGTCAGACACTTACGCAGTTCATCAATGACCATTCATCAGCATAGCAAAGACTCTGCAGAGGCTTTAGTACTGATTGCAAGAAGCAGAGAAGAGCTGCATATCTCAGCTACCATAAGATGAGAGACAGCAATTTCAAAACCATGATGAAGCACAGAAGACTGATAAAACCTTTCTTGTCTTAGATTTTTGTTTGGGCAAAGTGAGCCCTACCAGACATCAGTCTAAAAGGATACGGAGGGTATCATGCATTCCTTTGTCCAAACAGTCTCGGATTTGCTCAAATTCAGACCTGAGGCCTGGCTGCTGAAACAGGTCCTCCTGAAAAGACCACCATCAGTCAATCTCAAGGAAAGTAAATATTTGTGTCAATAAAGCACTGCCATTATGAACTGGCTGGAAAAATCTCCCTAGATTGGTGCTGATAACTACCAATCTCACCATGAGCAGTTCTAGTAAGGCTGTGGGACTGCAGTAAAGAGCAATGCAGAAGGACAGCTGCTGGTGCATGCCACACACGGAACACAGCAACTCAGGGTACTAAGATCACTTATCTCAAATATGTCCTTTTCTTACCCTTTACCATTGTCCAAACATCCACAGCTAGCAAAGGCTGCCGTTACCAGTATCTTGTCCAAAAATAAATGTAATGCAAACAAATTATTTTGCAATTCCAGCACAAGCACTGCCAACCTGCTGGGAAGCATTGCGGTATAGGTGATCCACCATCATCCACAGCTCTTTGGGAATTTCCAGAGGCCTTTCAGCTTGAGTAGCAGCATCACTTGTTTCCAGTGGCATCAGTGTCTGAGAGAGGGGAGGAAAAAAAAGGAGCTAGCCAACTTCTTGCTCAGCTCTGCAGATTGCTTCACAGGGTTTACACCTAACAATTAATACTTGTTACAGAACTGTGCAGCTTCACTCACTAGTCTTCATACAAGACAGATCCAACAGTCACAATTGTATCAAAAGTGCAGGCAGAAAGAACAAGCTGCTCTCAAACATGCTTCATGTACATTCAGCTCTATGGAAACTGATGCCTCACATACGCACACACCTCCATTTAGTGTGGGGAAAGCCAAAGGCTCCAGAGAAAAAGATCTACATTTAGAAGTAGCACACCTTTTTAAATGTGCAGGCAGAGCAGACAGTGCCTTACTGTCAGTGCTCTACGTGAAATGGGTTGCTTCATCCACGTGAAGCACTACTGCAAGGTGTGAAGATGGCACACTAGGGAGCACAAGCTGTATCAGCATTCTCAGACTATGGACCAGGGAAGTGAAAGAAGGCTCTGTAGTAACAGACAGGACTTAACCACCTAGTTTTTTAATGGTTCTTGTGGGCTCAGAAAGGAAGCTTATATTTAACTCACAAGGTTCTGAATGGATTCTGCTGACATGTCCTGGATTGGTTCCCGCATGTAACACAGTGTATGAATGGGAGACCCAAAGCAACTGGGCAAGTAGTTTCCTGTTACAGACAGAAAATAATCCTTCCCCCTGTCAAGATGCAAGACCAAGATATCTTCAAGTTTTTCTTCTCCAGAGTTTAAGCGTGTAGCTGTTGATTTATTAACAAATAGCTCCAACTCAATCGTGATCTCAGAATCTGCCAAAATATAAGAAAACCATAATGGTTAAAAAACAGTATTAAACCCATAAGTCTGTAAAAAACATAAGATTGTCAAAATAGCAGAGAAAACTAAGCCAGAAGATGACAATGTTAGCTCATTAACATGAAATGAACAATGAGGAGCTCACCTGGCAGCAGAAAGCCCTTACAAGGATTAGCTATCAGCCACTCCTTGCAATAGGTTTCCTCATCTGGTTTGCTGATAAATTCAAACTGGCAAGGCACTTGTCCATTGCGGATTGTAAACTTCTCTATCTGTAGCTGCATGTATTTAACATCCTCAAAATGGAACTAGAAACAAACGTCAATCAACATCATCAGCCAATCCCCCCTTGCCAAGCACCACCAGCAATTCCTCATATTCCCGTCCCATAGTTTAATCATTAAGCAGCAAGATATCCAGATTAACCCTCTTGCTCCCACATCCCACCTCTTCCAGGATTAAATAGGATTAAACTTGTTTACAATGTATGCTCAAGTCATTTGCATTAGTGTGCACTTTAAAGCAAATGCTCCCCTCAAATAACCTCAATGAAACCTGAGAACAAGATAGCTGTAGCCTCAAATGTCTCAGCTGCTTGTCTGTTTTAGTTCCCAACACACAAAGCAAATGCTGGTTTTGTGACCTTCTCCAAATCCCTCAGTATTTTACATTTTATGTTTCTAAAAACAAGCAACAGCAAGGGGTACAAACTGCCCTTTTACTCTCTCACTCTCCACCTCAGAGAGGTAACAGAGCTGTGCATTTCAGCCTGGTACCATGAATGAAATTTGCCTGCACCTAAAGCAGAAACAAATATTTCAAGGATTTGTAAACAGAAAACAGATGAAAGTCTATTGTTTCTTTGGAACCAGACCCCACACTCTAGTATCCATCTAACACACTTCTACCACTCAAATACACTCCTGGTGTAGGAATAGGAATGCTCAATGTGTCCAGCAAGTCAGGGCAGATGAACATACCCTACCTCTCTCTGGGAGAGGGTCACCGAGGGAATGTTGGCATTCTCCATCTTATCCAGGGAGCGCACTATTTCCTCAAAGACTTTTCGATACAGCTCCTCATTCACAACCTTCACCTGAAAAGGACACACACAGCACCAATTGGTATTTACTGTGCCTCTACAGGACAGCCTGAAACATATAAAGTGGCTCAATTCTAATAGTATGGTAGCATATACAACACATTTGATGAACAGAGGCACTTGGAGCACTAATATTATTATTCCTCCTCAGGACCCAATAATAAAGGACCTTGCTACCTTGCTATAACTAGCAAGAGAGGCAAGAAAGTCACCCAGTCATTTTGAGGGTGCTTTTTGTTCTTTTTTTTTTTTTTTTTAAAACCACACTCCTGGGCTGTCAATGATATAGCATGGCTGCACTGCAAGTTGCTGTGAAAACAATTAAGAAAAATAAGAAAAATAAGACTTCTGAAAAAACACCTACAGATACTCATAAATTGTTCTGCTGAATTGAAGTATTACTTAACACAACCCTAGCTTACTATGAATAATGATTCTATTTCAATATATTACCTAACCCACCTTACAAGCCATTGTTCTGTGTAGATGCCATAAAAGCGGGGATAATCCAGCATGAGAGCCTCTCCCCTCCTCCCCCACACACAGGACGAGGTCAGCAGAGTTGTTTCCTTAGGTACAGACATACTTACCCCAATATCAAACACAGAGCTAACTGGCTTGTGATCACTGATCTTCAAAGCCATATGGCTGCGATAGCTCAGCTGAGCAATGTTCTGCCCTTTCCAGAGTATCCGATCGCACCATGCTGGAACACGACACTTCTCACTAGGACAGAGGTAAAAATTACAGTTTCCAGGCACAGTTCAGATGGAGTAACACTGCGAGGCAGAATTCTGCTCTCTCAGGGACTCGGTGTTTTCCTGACAAGGCCAATTTCTGCATTTTTTTTTCCACTTTATTGTTACCACCTTCAGTGATAACATCAGCCAATGTCATCACGTATGAAGCAATCACTGTACCTTGTGTCCCAGTCATCGCAGCCAGCATCATATTTGTACGTTGGTTGGAAAGAAATCTCTCCCTCTGTAAAGCCTTCAAAGACTGCTTTTGCATTCATTTGCCTCTTTAGCTACAAAAGAAAAAGAAAAATAACCTCAAGCACAATTCCCATATGAGCTAAATGGGAGCACTGAGAAGGCTAAGGAGCACCTGCAGGTAGGTGAGGGAGGCATCGGTACCTGGTCATATCGGCAAAGCTCTGAAAATGCTTTCTCTTCTACAAGCTGCTTCACTTTTGTCACATCCAGTTCCTCCAGCCGATAGTTGAGGTCACCCAACCATAAGATCACACTGAAAGAGAATGTAGACCAAAGCTACTCTTTCTACCATGGCTGATTTTAATTCCCATTCTGCATGTTTGTCAAAATCTCTTACTAACTGGTGCTTTTACTATTCCTCGATGACTAAATCCTACAACCCATTGAGAAGATTCATGCATATTATTGCCCCATTCCCACTTCAAGCATGGAAATAAAACAAGGCCTGGAAAACTGTAAAAAAGCAAGTGATTGCCAGAACCCTATTGATTGCCAGAACTGTCAAAAACAGGGTTATAGTAAATCTTTTCTGGCCCTTCCAGGCTAATAATCGGATTGCTAGCCACCCTTCTCACATCCCTGTGAGAGAACCTTACACCCCACAGTGTTCCTAATGCTCTGCCTTGCCACCTGCAGTGAATCAGGTAATCAAAGGGGAAGCGTACTCATGTTTGCTAATAGTGAGAGGTGGCAAATTTGGATCCGATTGGCAGAATTGCATCCGAGAGCAGATGTCTTTGAAGTCCTGATTCCTCCGCTCATATTCCTCGGTGTGAGCTGCAAGGTGAGAATTCACAATGCACACACTAGTGTTATGGAATTTAAACCTTATGGCAACACCACCTTTGTTACCCTGAAAGATAAAGACAAAGACGCTGGTCAGAAGCTTTTCTTCTGTACACAACAGATGAATCCAGAAAAGAGTTAACAGCAGTGGACAAGCCAGAAGACATTGAAGCAGACCATTTAATTCCAGAAGAAGAAAAAGGCTGAAAACCTAATTGGTGATAATTGCATCATGAATTTAAGCCAGGAACCCATGAAGATCTCACACAGCAAGGGAACATGGCAAGCAAATTTACAGAACACAGTTTGTAACTCAGGATTCAGTTAATACAAAAGGAAAATTCAAATCAACAAGGGAGCTGGTCAATTGCTTCACCAAGTCCTGAAACCAGTTTAGCAACAAACAAGACCTTTCAACACAGACAATAAAAAAAAAGTAAGTGGAGGAGGAAGCACATGGCTTAGCTGGCCAAAAACACCTCTGGCAAGTTATAGCTGCAGTGTTCATGAAACTACATCCAAAGGGCACAGACTTCATTCCTGTGATGCAGAAGGGCAAGAGGCCAGTAAGTCCTCCTCCACAAAACTATAATCTGGATGGACACGTTTCTTCTACTCATGTTTCCTCGCATTAATTGCTTTGAGCAAAATCACAGCCAGCATCAAGCTACACGATAGTGGGGCCCAGCACATGTAATCAGGAAAAAGCCTCCAAGGAAGCTCCTCCCACAAGGTTTAGGAGCTTTTGAGAACACACGGTGATTCCCTCTAGCAACAGCCTGAGCTGTCACAGAGACGGGACTCTACGTGTCTAAAAGCAGCTGCCTCCTTTAGCTAGAGGAATAACCACTGCATCTAAGGAGTGGAGCTCCCCAGTGCTCCCTGAAGTCTCACCCCTTCTCACACACAGTCGTCATTCTTACCATCCTCCCCATGATGCCAGTTCCCACAGTCTCAACTTCCACCTCGGAGATGTTCAAAGCAAGGTCTGCTTTCACATACAACAGAAGCATTATTCCCACAAGCCGCACAAGTTTCACCTGAAAAATAGATCCTGTCGCATTAACTACTGGAATGGGAGAAGGCACCTTGTCCCCCAGCCCAGAACAAGGGCCAGCAAAACACAGATGAAGAAGGAGGCTCATCCAACAGCCCACCTCGCCACACAGTACACAGGCACTCCATCAGCACAGCACAAGAGGGAGCCAGGGACCAACACCACAGTCAAGGAAGTCGAAGCCTAAAGCAAAAGCCAAAGCACTGGCAGCCCATAGAAGGAGCTTCCCTTAAACAAGCGACAGGAGACAAAGCAGACCCACGGGGCAGGAGCCAAAACACAGGCAGTGTTCCTATCAAGATACCTTCACGCCTCGTTCCACCATGCATTATGGAGACAGACATGGCAGATGCTAAGATGCTTCCTACTCACTTCCCCCAAGACAGCAGGAGCTTCATTTATGCATGGCGCCTAGCTGCTCCCTCCTGTCCTGCCCTCTGCCTTGGCACCCTGCACAGTAACACTACCTACTTCACCTTCAGAGCACTTCTGACTGAGCAAAAGCTGCAGACAATGAACCTCTGGAAGACACAGCAATTGAAAACAGGAAAAAGCAAAGTGAAAAGAGGCCCGAGTGGAAAATGATTCCACATTCAAACCTCCCCAAAAGCCCCATTTACCTTTGCATATTTGGCATCTGGGTGAAGACTATCAGTTACAGCTTTAAACCATTCTTCTTCCTTCGGTGTGTCATTGAAAAAGAAGGCTTCTTTACTCAGATCAAGCTCCTGGAAACTGCATTAGAAGAAGAAATCCATGTATGCACGCATTTATTTTATTTTTCATTTTTATAACTCCAGCCCTTCCCTCCAGGAAAGAACTAAAACAATTTATACTCACACTAAATTTGTAACTTAAAGCTCAAATTCAGTTATGCTGATTTCAGAGGCAAGTTAAATGTAAAGTTAATTGTTAGAATTAAATGGAACCATATTAAAGATTTTGTAAAACTGCGGTGCCAGAAAGCCCAAACACTACCAGAATAACAGCCCTTTCAGGCTACGCAAACACACACTCTAAAGCTGTGCAACAGAGTAAGGCAACGCAAACATTCCTCAGCTGTGATGTCTTGGCTGAACACCTCATGCTACAGATCACAAGCAAGCAGCCAGTGTCAGGGGTTGGATGGAAGAGCCAGAAAGAGACACTCACCCCACACAGTAAATGTCTGGAGGCTCCGTGTCACATCTCAGCCAGGGCTGGAGGCTTTCCTTGGGTGACTGACCATTCACATTGTAAGTCCCGACAAAAAATCTGCAAAGAATTCACTTTTGTTAAATCCCAGAGCTGCAAATACCACTAGTATTAGCCCATGTACTTAATAATAATTATGTAGGAGTAACTTGTTTCCAGGAGGGATTAGGACAATGTGACAAAGTCTAAATTCCTACAACGATTTCATTACAGTAGCATCTTTATAGCCTTTTTTACAGAATGATGCACGTTTTTGCATAGAGTGTAAAAAGACAATAGAGCTGTGCAGTAGCAGTTCGAAATGATAAATTCATCGAACAATCTGCATAAATGGATTTTAACCACAGTAAAGTTTTTGTCCTGATTATATATTTCACCCAAGCTCTCATGAAATTAGTAGAACAACTGCAAGCCTAACAGTAAACAGAAAGAGTGACAGAGAAAGCCAGGGGCACACAGAATTGATGCATTTCCAGCCATAGGAAATTTACTCCCACCCCCAAAACAAGCTCTTCTCGGGAATGATCATCACCTGAAGTTCTGGATGTACGTGTAGGAATCCTCCCTTTGTACGAGTTGAGATTTAACGATAGTATCTCTTAGTCCAAACTGTGGTTCTGATAAGATTGAAGCCATGTTTGAAACCATTACGCCGGAGGACCGCACCATTTCAGCTTTCACATCAGATTTGACTTTGCTTTGTCTGGAAGGGAAAACAAAACTGCTAGAAGCAGCCCAGGATAAAAACACACCCTGAACAGCTTATTTCTGCTGCTGAGGACATGGTTCTCATTTACCTGTCTGTTTCACTGTGCAGAATAAGCAAACAAGACTGAAATGAGCATTTCTTAGAACAGCTCAGACCTTCTCTAGATAAAACCAGTTTAACTAACCGAAATGACAACCCGTTCTCCCTAAGCTGGTGCAGCCTGTTGAGTCAGGGCAGACCTGTTGATTCAGGGCAGACCTTGTTCACCTGTACACCAAGCCGTCCACATTTCCTGCTTACTGGAACAGGGAGATGTGGATGTCGTCTCCCTCTGCTCAGCCCTTCTGACCTCAGCAGAAGAATGAAAAACTGTTTGTTTTCATGGTGGAAAAGTCCCAGCTCTATCTAGAAAGGAGGCAGCAAAGAGTAGATGGGGACAGAGGTGGTTTTATTTAGTATCTTGTTGCTCTGTGATTTACTGCAGGCTCCTTTTGCAACAGTAGTAATGCCACAGCTTGGGAGTTCCCACAAGCAAGTGCATGATATAAATTTAAGGTCAACAACCTACACATGAGTGCCAAGGACGGCACAGAGACAGACTTTGAAGGATATGCAGCAGGGTCCACAAAGTCCTGGGAACTGGAAAATGAAACTCTAACATTTTAAAAGTGTATCTATGAGACATGGTGGCCCTAAGCCAAAGCTCTCTGAATTCAAAACAAACAACGCTAGCAGGTCCTGTCTCACCAAAGAGCAAAATATGCCCAAATAGGGGGACTAGCAGGACTGGCTCTGAGAGGCAGTGCTGAAATTCCCACTCAAGTTTTGACAGCATGCTTATGCTAAGCTTTTTTTTTTCTTTTTTTTTTTTTTTTTCCTTTTAACTAGAATCTGCGATTCTCTTCCCCAAAAAGTTGCCAGCTACTGCTCCAGATCCTGCTACCCCCAATGACCGCAGCTGGCAGGGTTGCCAGCACGTGGAAGCAGATAATGCAGCAGGCAGATTCCTCAAGCACTGGTGTCTGCAAAGACCTGCCATGCTGGGACCAGAAAGACCAACTTCCCCATGCGGTTTCCAGCTGAAAACCAGGAAACCCAGACAGAAAGCTCTCTGCAATTTGTCTTCCTCTCGACATGAAAATATCAACAGCTTGCCCACTGCAGCTCATTCCGTCTGTACACAATCATACAGAAGCACGCCGAAGTTTGGTGCTATATATATTTACTGTCAACAAAGAGCCTCTGCAGAGGGGAAGCACAGCTAGACAGGCAAAGAAACATTGCCACCACTTTTACACCTTGCCCTGCCCAGAGAGATGATGCACACAAGCATTGCTTCAACTGCTTCAAGAGAAATACATGAGAAGTGAGAAACCATACCTGGGAGCACCTTTATCAGTGCTGTCATGGCTCCAGTTCTGATTAACTGCAAGTTTTTTTCCATTCTGCTTGATGCCTTCAGAGCCAACCACTTCTGGAAAAAAAAAAAAAATCAAGTTTCACATGAATCTAAGTGTTCTTTAACTTATCAACACACTCAGGCAAACAGAAGGGAAAACCAATGGGCACAATACAGTTTAGACTTGTACAGAGAAACAAAGTGTCCCACAGACTTTCTTTTTGTTATCTGGTCGACTCATCGTATTTTGACAGAACTGTTTGGTGGTGATGCAGCTTCCCCAGCAGAGGAAGGACTTACACCAGCATGCCACACAGCCACGGAGAGCAGCAGAGCTGCCGGCGCTCTTTCAGAGCTAAGCCAAACCAGGACTGGCACCATAAAATCCAGGGCTTTATCCTGGAAATCCAGAAAAACTAAGCTAATAATTAGCTTTTCCTTTCTGAAGCAAGATGGGAAGTGCAAGGAAAGGAAGAAAAACGACTTATCACACAATCACACTACCGTTTAAAGGGTTTAGGTCTCTCTGCAGAAACATAGCAAAGCACAGGAGCCCTCCCCTGCGAAGAAGTACAGCAGTCACCATACAAACGTGCCACAACTCAGCAGAAATAAGTGCTGCCATGTAAATTGCACGTTCCTAACGAAGTAACGGGGCAGCTAGTATGCAAATGCAGCTAAATACAGGTGCAATGCTAAACGCATTATACCATGTTAGCAAAATTTGACCAGTCTCAGCATTTGCTTCAGCTCTGACGTTCTGCTGCTAAGTGGCAAAATAACGGTTAAAGCAGAGAATTTTGCATGGGGTTTTCCGTGCTTAAGGTGCAAAACCAACAATACCAAGGCAACAATACTTTTCACACCAGTCTAATAATGATACACAAAATGCTCTTAAGCTTGTAAGGTTTCTGTTCATTCGGCTGAGCTTCTCCTTCTGTGAGCACTACCCAGAAAAAATAAGGTTTTATCACTGTCATAGTACACCCTCTAGGACAAGAGCACAAACCAGAAACAGAACTTAAAGTACTTTACACAAGCACTCAGAATATAAACAAGCTGACAAGAAGTGGCCATATTCTCAGCTTGGAAAGCCTCTTCTGCCCGAAGAACCCTCCCAGAATAAAGACTCTGTAAGAGGATTAATCGGAGGCTGTTTCCAGAAGAGCACATGATTCAAGCCTCATTACAGATCACACAAGCAAAGTCCTGTGGCAACGAGCAGGAGCAGCCTTTGCTAAAACAAACTCTGAAATTAGCAGTGTGCATCTCTGCTAGCAGAAACGCGTTTGACTTCGCATGCAGCATCACCAAGTTTCAGTACTCCCTCAGAGCTCATCCAACCACAAGCATCTCCCAGACACATATTTTAATGCTCTTAAACAAAACCTTAAATGAATTGAAATTAACTTGAATTTAAGTTAACATTTAAACAAACAAGATATGCCTGCACCTCAAAGAAAGCTGAACGTTTCTCTCTATCTGCAGTGCAGTGCTGCACCACGAAGCACAGCCTCAGTGAGTTGGGACAGAGCCACAAATTTTCTCCATAGGCATTAAGTGCTTAATCAGAGCTGCTCGAGCCTCTGCAAGTTTTCCTGATAAAGACCGTGCGAGGGATCTTGACAGTGACAAGAACCAACTTGAACTTTCACCGTAAAGAGCAAAGCAATGAGACAAGTGTTGCTTTGGTAGCAGGAAGGGAGCAGAGGTTCATCTTTATTACCCGCAGACGCCAGCAGCACTGGGCAGCAGGCAGGAGCTGGTGGTGCCGCTGATGGCAGGGTTTCTGTGCCTGCCCAGTGCTGCTGGCACAGCTGCTACGCAGGGCGAGATGGCAAGCCAAAGATCACAGCCATACATCGCACATTGGCATTTTAAGATCATCAGCAAAAATATTCGTTTACGTAGGATTCCCTTTAGAAAGAGATTAGCCCTGGGAACAGGCTGCTTCCTTCAGATAAATTTACATCTAGACAGAGGTCGCTCAAGCCAGAGGAGGTCTATATGTTAGCAATCTAATGTGGAATATTTTAGCAAGATAATGACCTTATGTAATAACTGAGCTGGGCACAGAAATAAAGGGCAATGTGCAGAGATAAGAAAGCAGCAGAATCAGGATTTGCAGCTAGAAGGGACTTACAAAACAAAGCCTTTCTTATTAAACGTGTGCAGCGACGTTATAATACTGTTCTACAGCGGTTCGAGGTCCCCTCTTCTGGATAAAGCAGGATCCAGGCTTAGTGCTGGAAGGGGGGAATTAAATTAGCCTTGCCACCAGTCGTGTCAGTCTGAGCCAGCCCACGCTGCGTAACGAAGTGCACACAGCAGTCCATGCGGGACGGCGCTATGCCTGGCTGGAGGGAAGTCACTTCGTGCTTTTTGCTGTTCCAAATGAAGCAAAACTGCAGTTGTGACTGTGACCGTGCACACAGATGGGATTTTAGATAAGGGTATTATCTGAAATTAGGAACATAAACTATGGACATTTAAATTCCATTATAGGTTCTCTCATTCATTAACCAGCCTTAATCCACAGAAGGTACAACAAACCAATATTACCACTAGCAAATGGCCGCATTCACACAGTATTTAAATGTGATTTGATTTGCCTATGAAAGTTGCTTGCTCGGTGCTCATGTTCATTTAATGACAGAGCAAGAGCCAGTAATGGAAAACAGCAGACAAAACCTCATTCTATATCAATTTATATTCCAAAAGATCCCAAGTGATGGCAGAGAGCACTTTCTTCTTCTAACATGAGGAAAAAAAAAAACAACCAAACTCCTCCAACTCACGAAAAACACACTCAAGCCTTGAAAAGGCAACTTTGTCAAAGCTCAAAGGCATGACTTGATAGGAGAACCACTTTCCAACAAGCTCACAATTCAAAGAGTGTCACTGTGCTCCAGATACAACAAAAACAAACCAACAAAGGAAGCGGCTTGTGTTTCACTCAGCATGCTTTTAGAGACGTGGTTTAGTGGGTGATATTGGTGGTAGGGGGACGGTTGGACCAGATGATCTTGGAGGGTTTTTCCAACCTTAATGATGCAGCAACATATGCCCAGGTCTCCCCCAGTCAGTTCTGCACAACAAGCTAAAATGCCATGTCTGAACAGATGTTCCCAGATCCCTACCTTGACTCAATCCAATTTGTGCAGTTGCCTGAGGTCTAAGTTACAAAATCCATCCCTTCTCTTTCTCTCTTTTTTTTTTTTTAACACACAACTGACAGTGAAATGAAAAGAAGGAACATCGGTGGCACCAAACTGCGCCCACGTGAACACAAGGAGCCCAGGCGAGCTGAAAGCGGGTAAAGCAGAAACGGTTCAATCCCAATTCTGCGTCCCACACCGACTTCCAGGAATTGTCCCAGCTCTGCGCTGCCTTCTAGGAATCGCCCTTTCTCACAAACTCACTTTACAAAAGGAAAAAGCAGCAGCAGCAGCGACCGGGGCCATGTGCGATAGCATCGAGCCGGCAAGAGGAAGAGGCCGATGCCACAGCGCTGAGAGCGAGGGCGAAGGCAGCAGCGCTGCGGGGCTGCTGCGAGGTGCAGCCAGGGCACACGAAGGCTGGCGATGAAGAAAGCCGAGCCTCCAAAACCTGTCAGGCCCTGCGAGAGCTGCCTAGGCTGGCACAGGGCAGTGGTGCCTGGACGGGGCAATCCCATAGCGGGCAAAGCTCTTCAGGCAATGCCCCCCCCTTCGCTGCCTGTGATTCTCTGCCCACAGAGGAAGCCCCAGAAGCAAAAGGGCTCTGCAAAACCCCTCCAGCTGCCTCCACACACCCTAAATTCACTGCCCCGACCCCCGGAGCCCCCCTTGGCCCCTCAGGGAGCTGCCGAGCCCCGTGTCCGCGAGCCGAGCCCTTTCCCTTCCCCTCCCAAAGCCCTCCCCGAGCCCCCACAAGCCGCCAGCACCCCCCACACCCAACCGGGTCCCCCCCAGGAGCCACCTCCACCGGCCGGCCCGGGCACAGCGGCTGTGCTACCGCCGGGAGGCACCGGGCCGAGCCGTGCCAGGCGGGTCCCTCGCCTCCAGCCCCGTTCCCGGCCCCCCTCCGGCAGCACCGGGTCCCCACCGGGTCCCCGCAGCTCCCCCCAGGCTCACCTCGGCGGGGCCGCCCGCCCGCCGACATCGCGGCAGCTCCGCCGCTGCCGGCCCCGCTCCGCCCCGGCCCGGCTCCGCCCGCCATGGGGCGGCTCTCGGGGGCTGCCCGCCCCGAGCGGGGCCGGGACGGGGACGGGGACGAGGCCTGGGCCGCGGAGAGGTGGCCGGTGATAGCTTTAGGAGCACCGAGAGCCTGCCCCAGAGACGCGGAGATGCCCCGGAGCCGTCCCTGAGCTGCCCCAGGGTCACGGAGCCATCCTGGAGGTGCTCCGGAGTCGCTTCGGAGCTGCCTCAGGGCCCTGGAGCCGTCCCGGAGTTGCTCCGGAGTCGCCCCAGGGTCCTGGAGCTGCCCTGGAGCCATCCCGGGAGATGCCCCTGAACCCTGGAGTGCTCCCCAGGCGCTGCCTACCCGGCCAGAGCAAAAGGTGATGGCCCTGGGCACAGAGATTTGTGTGCTTGTGTCCTTCTTGGAGCAGCGCACACCTTCAGCACGTGTGATAAAGGGCACAGAGGAAGATGCTGGCAGAAAAAGCGCCAGGCTGTGAGAAAAAGCAAGAAGGGGGTGAGCAGACGCAGAGCGTCTGAGGAGACAGCTTGCGGTCGCTCAGGGCACACAAAATAAATTTCCATGTGGCCTTCTGAGTGCACAGTGCATGGGTTGCTCACAGCTCAAAAGTGCTGCTCAGCTCTCTGATGCTGCACAGTTGTTACCCTTGTGAAGCATTGCAGCTCAGCCCCAGTTTCAGCAGCAGAGGCTGGCGCTGCTCTTCCTCACGAGCCTACAAACACAAGCCACCAGCCAGGCTCCCTGCGCCTCTAACCCCAAGCACACGGCAGAGCTCGTACCTGGGCTGCACCTGCTGAGCTCCTGCAGGAACGTGCGCGTGTGGGAGCCAAAGGGCAACCGCACTGTGAGCCGATCATCTTCTGAACTGATCTGGACCGTCACATCGGAGCCTGTCGATAGAAGAGCTCATGGTGCTGCTGAGCACTCAGAAACACCCAGTGTTTTCTGCACGCTGCAGCAGCTGGTGCACACATGCAGACTCTATCAGCAAGTCACCCTGGGTCTTAGCATTTCTTTTTCACATTTTACATGAGAATGGCAATTAAAAATATAAAAATCACTGTTTGTAATACTTTTTGTTCTGCTCATTCAGCAATGGCAAATGCATTTGGTGGCCACTGCAGTAGGTGCTAAGCAGCACCATGTCCATTGATGCCAGCCCAAACTGCTGCTGATGCCGGGCATCACTGCTCTGGTAGCGTCCCACCCAAATGCCTCCAAGATGTTTTGTAGATGTTGTCTTAGCAGGAAGACATGTAACAGTCTCTGCATGCTCCACTAACACGTGGTTTTGCTGGTCACCCTCGTTACATCTTGTGTATTTTGATAACAGACACAAATAGCTGTGCCTGAAAAAAACCCTGAGAGGGCCGATAACTGATCTTTCAGCAGCTGTTTAAAAATATTTGGAGAAATGGTTACCCTGGTTGAACAGGGGTGACAGTGCTCTGTCAGCATGAGCAGAATAATGGCAAACAGTTCACCCAGTAAGACAAGATCTCCTTGTTCCACCGCATACACCTACAGAGGAGTAACCTCTGCCTACAGCCCAGAGCACAAAAGCGTGTGCAGCTGGTGCAGGGCCCAGGGATTTCTACAGCACTGACACTAAAACAGCAACAAAACTCACCAATGACATGAAGGTCGCTGTCAGGTATCACTGCAAAAGCAAAAGAAAGTTCAGTTACAAGCAAAGCAATAGGAGTGCTGACTATGAAAATACTTTGAGGCTGGGGAGCTCAGCAAGGTCATCGGGCCCCGAGTGTTCTCTGCAAGCACGGGGACAGGCAGAATCTGCCAGGGCAGGAGGCCATGGGTGATGCTTGGTAGGACACAGGGCACTCTGGATTGCAAAGCGATTAATCTGGCGGGGCCCTTCCAGCTGTGTCATGCTCATAAACTTCACCAGGGATTATAAATTGAAGAGAAAATAGGAAGGGCTGAATAGATCTCAAGTTTCAGCCATCAGAGCAACAAAATATGGACTCCATCTCCCTTCACCCCCTTCTTTGGAGGTGGTCACTAGGCCCCCAAAGTGCATCCATACCTTCTTCCACTGCAAACCCTTCTCTGATGGGGATGACTTTCTCCAGCCAGACATCCTCAGCGGTTATGGCCATCCGTCGGTGTGTGTACACGTAGATCCTGCAAGCATGGAGCAGACACAGAGGTAATGCCTTCCCTCTGGCATCTCTGCAGGTGTGGGCAGACCCCGTCCCATCCAGCAGCAGCTGCCAGCATGGCCTCATGCAAATCCCCAAACAACCTCTCCACAACACACCCACCATCCCGCTTGTCATTTAAATAAGGATGTGTTTGTGTTACTGGCAACACACACCAAACCCACACCTGTAGGGCCCGGGCCCGCCTCATTACCCATCCATACAGCACAGCAGGAGAAATGCCAAGGCACAACTCCTTCCAAGCAGTGCTCTATCAGACCTCACCCTGGTAGAAAGTGCTTGGGGGTAGGAAGGGATTTTAGGCCTAAAAAAGACCTGTCAGGCTCTGCTGCAGCCTCTCCTCCTGCCAGCAGCATCCCCCTGCCCTCCCCGCTCCGGCACCTACGCGTGCTCTCCGCAGCTCTCCACCAGGCCCAGCAGCCGGCTCTCCACGCTCTCCCCACCAGCCAGGGTTCCCTGCACGGCCTTCATTTGGGGTCAAGGAACAGCAAACAGCAATGGGATCCCGGCAGGGCCTCCTCAAACCGGGGTGGGCCCGGAAAAGGGAGGAAAGCCAGCAAAACCGCGGTGCAAAGGATATGATTCGACACGTTGCTCCGTTGGCCAGGGTCTCCTGGATGGCCACCGACTGGTCCATGCTCCGTGCCCCCGAGGCGAGAGCCGGCGGTCCCAAAGCAGGTCCCGAAGCAGCTGAAGAGCAGCAGCAGCAGCCCTGGGGTGATGCCAAGCTCCGCGATGCAGCTAAGGGAGGCCAGACCAGGACTGGGACCAGGACCAGGACCGGGGATCGGGACCAGGACCGGGGATGTGGCCACGCTCGGTCCCACAGAGGCTCCCGGGGACCCCTCGCTTCTTGTCCAGCTCCCAACTGGGCTCTTGGGGCCGGAGGTGGCCGAGGCCCGCCCCGCTCCCGGCCTGCCCCAGGCGTTCCGTTAACCCTTAGCTCCAGGAAGGGCCCGAGCCCAGCTGCGTGCTCCCGTCTCGGGCGCCGCTGTCACCGGAGGGGCGGCCACGGGGGTCCCCGGGTGCCGGGGGGCTTCGTGACGCTGTCTGGAGTGCTCCCACCCAAAGCAGAGCACGGCCAGCCAGGTCCCAAAGCCCCAGGAAACACGGCGAGCCTCATTTTCCGGCCCCGCTGCAAACAATTTTTACAGCTGGCCGCACACAGCGTGCCGATATTAGAGGGTGAAAAGCCGGGGAAGGGAGCGGGAGTGATGGAAAACAGCCAACAAAAGAGGGCGAGGAACTTCCCTGAGCGTCCTGAAGGGAACGGGAGAAAAGGAGAGGAGGAAGCTTTGGGGTCGGTAGCAGGCTGGAGAGGCTGATTTCCTTGTGGAAGGGGAGGGGCTCTTTTTTCAGCAGCACCTTAAATTATTTTCCCTTAAATTTCAAGCCCCAGCCGGCGTGAGCCAACTTCTGAGCTCCTGCTTTAATTATGCAAATTAATTACTGCGGAGTGTGTAAGCAGGTGCTAGGAAATGTCACCAGACAGAGTCGTTTGCATACTAAACAGAGGAGAGTTTGATCTACATCAGCTCTTCCCCCAGCTGTAGAAGTGACAGCTGAACTCTAGCAGCTATGAAAAAAAGCAGCGGTGTTTGCTAAAGCCACCGCTCCGCCGCCTGCCTCTCCCCTCCCTCCCCTGCACTCCTGCAGCAGTACAGAATGGACGGGAGCCTGCAAAGAGGAAATGAAAGGCAAACAGCCCAAAATATGTGCTGTGAACTCCAAGCACCATGCCCTTTCTCGTAAGGATGGAGGCATGTTGTTTCTGAAGCAGAAAAAAAGCTTTGAGCTCCATCCTGTTTTCACTTTCTAGCGATACACTGCCCGTGTGGCCTGAAACACTTGAAAAAAAAAAACACAACAACACACACACACCAGCCCCTGTGCTGCGGTTTGGAGGCAGCAGAACTGCAGGCGGATGGAGGCAGCCCTGCAACGTGGAAGGGGCCGGCTATCGCTTCAGGCAGCCTCTTCTCGTCCAGTCCCACATCCGCTGTGTGCAGCTCTGCTTAAGGGCTTCTGAAGCGAAGCCTTCCTGCTGGTAGAAGCACGAGGAGCCCAGCTCCGCGGGCTGGGGTCCCTCCCCAACCCCCAGGCATTCAGAAGAGCCCCAGTTATCAACCCAGAGGACAGACATTTCTTTATTTTTATTTTTGCTTTTTTTTCCCCTTAAAAGAGAGCAGTGAGAGAGGACAGCAGACTGTGCGCTTGCAGGAGTGGCAGCACCTTGCCACCACAGAGCCACCCACCCGCTGCCTGTGATGCAAGAAGGTCACAGCACGGGCTCCTGCTCCCGTCTCTGCTCTATCTTTACGCATAGAGAATCATAAATATGAAACAGGGCCATCTAAAACCACAAGCCACTTTTAGCTCAGTCCCATTTTCCTGCCACGAAGTGGAGATGAAACAGTTAAGAGTTGTGCCTAAACAGACAGGGGGCTTTAGGTACAAACTAAATGCTAAGGGGATGTCCAGAAAGGCTGAGCTGAGAAGCAATTATTAACTAGAGCAGCCCCCGTGCCTTCACTCGAAGCAGAGGTTTCTGCTTTTTAAGGCAGCGTAGCAACCTCTTGCTCCTACACCCGAGGTCCCTCCATCCAGCCTCCGTAGTCCCAGCAGGGCAGGGGAACGTCTTCAAGCTCTGGCCCCTTTGTTCCTGGCAGCTGAGGGTGGTGGACGGTGACTGTGGCTGAAGCCAGAGAGGGGGCCCCCGCCTGCTGCTTACAGCCGGAGGGGAGCAGAGACCCCACGGTTCAGGAGAAGGGCAGCCCCGCATGCCAGGAGCTGCAGGAGCGGGGCCAGGGGCAGCTGCCCAGCAGCGTTGAGGTGAATTTTGCCATCCAGCTTTAGGCAGCTGGCTTTCGGCGTGGCGGGGCAGCACTCCTGGTAGCAGGCAGCCTTCACGCCTTTAGCGCAGACGGGCTTGGCAGCCTTGCAGGCCTTGCTGCATCCTGCCACAAAATCCAGGCCTGTCTTCTTCATCTGGAAGGAGAAGAGGTGTTGGTGGTTGTGCCTGCCCTCCAGCATTCGCATGGTGGGGACACACACACAGGCTCCTGGGCACAGCCCAGCCGTCCTGCTCTTACCCCCAAGGCCGTACCTGACAGAAGTCATACCCAACAATGCATCTCGCAGTGGTCTTCTTCCCCTTGAAACATCCGTCCCCGTGGCAGGTGAAGGCCGCACAGACTTTCCCCTACAAGACAGGACCAGAGGAGACACTGTGCTTGCTGGTGCAGACAGCAGGACGGCCAGGACAGGAGCCAGACCTGTTCCTGAGGACCCTTCCCACCCCCCCCCCAACCCGCTGCATTTCAGTATCTGTGCCATCTCAGGCATTTCACACCCAGAGATAAGCCCTCCATCTGACACTGCAGGAAACCTCACTGAAACGCCACCGCAGCAAACAAGTTTCAAGCTGCCTTTTCCTTCCTCTTCGCAAGGCTTTGCAGAGATGAGCATCTTCCCCTCCCCATTGCTCGGGTGCCCCAGCAGCACCCTGCACCCATGGGTGCTGTACAGTCAGCTGGGGCTGCTTGAACACACACAGGGGCTGAGCTTGGGACCCTTACGAGCTCTGTCCCTGCAAAGCTCATTAAGGATTTGTTCCCCTTCCAGAGGCAGCTTTTGGAAAAACAGCATTGCGTGGACCTTCTAGGGCAGTACCTACATTTCGGGGGGGAGGCCGGGGGGTGGTGGTGGCGACGGTGGTCGTGGGTGGCACGGTGGTGGCTGGCAGGTCACCTGCAGACATGAGAGGAGCCCCGTGAGGACACAGCCCATGTGGGAGAGCCACTTGGGAGTGGAACCCCAGAGCAGAGGAATCGTGACGACGCAGCCAGCCCAGCTCAGCGGGCTTTGTGCACCCATTTCCCTCGCGTGCAGCAGGATTAACCCCGGACCCCCAGCCCGGGGGAGCCCCGTGGGCAGTTACCGTAGGAGCTGGCATTGAGCTGCAGGCACAGCGGGGTGTTGCAGCACTCCAGGGCGCACTGCTGCATGCTCACGCTGCTGTTGGTCCTGCACGGCTCCGCGCCGCACGCGCTGCTGCACCTGGCCATGTAGTTTGTGCTGGAGAAACGATAAAGCTGCAATAGCAGAGCCAGAGGGAAAAAAAAAAACGCTAGAAGTGTGAAGAGATGCCACCAGGAAGGTGTCAAAGGGACTTGATAGATTGCAGCAGAGATAAAGGAAAACGGACTGGCATGGTCGCAGCCCTCCACCCCCCTCTCGGTGAGCTCCGTACCTCGCAGAAAGTCTCGTTGTGGCAGGCGGCCGTCTCGTTGGCGTGGGCTGCGTCTTGGTAACACCTCTCCCCAGAGCACTGGAAGCTCTGGCAGGTGAGCTGGAGGGAGAACACGCCGGGAGGTCACCGTGCAGCAAAGCCGCCTCCTGCAGCACCACCACCATCATCCCATCCCCTTCCCTTCCCCCAGGAGATGCTCTCAAGGGATTTCCAGCTCCTATGAAGGACCAGGTGGGTAAAAAGCCTGGTCCTGAGGCTGTAGCAGCCTGGCCAACATCCCCCTTCCCTTTCCTTACCCTTGTTCCTTCTGTACTGTTCACGGAGACGTTGGAGGCCACCGAGGAGGTTTTGGGAGCCACAGAGGAGGTGTTGGGGGCCACCGAGGAGGCGTTTGGAGCCACCGAGGAGGCGTTGGGGGCCACCGAGGAGGCATTGGGGATCACCGAGGAGGTGTTGGAGGCCACCGAGGAGGCGTTGGGGATCACCGAGGAGGTGTTGGAGGCCACCGAGGAGGCGTTGGAGGCCACCGAGGAGGCGTTGGGGGCCGCTTTGTACTCTGGAAAACAGCAAGTTGCATCTTGGTGAAGAAAACCCCAGCCACATACTCAGCAAGCCTGCGTTCCCTGCTGAGCCACTGCCACATCGGTCACGTCAGGGTTGGGATGGGGACAGCAGCAAGTGGCAGGATGTCCCAAACAAGGGACAAACCCAAACAGGGTTTTTGCAGCCAGAAACGAGGGAGCTGAAAGTCAGACAACAGCCCACAAGGGACATGTTCCAACAGCTTCTCCCTCCCCCTTCCAGCCGCATCACACGTGAGGAAGTCTTTTCTGGGGGCAAAACCTCTAGAAAAGGTCCCTCAGTGCAGCTCCATCCTACAGATTACAGCCAAGAGGGGACAGGGACATAGTCACAGCCTTTGCCCTGCTCCCAAGGGGAGCCTCAGCTTTCCCTGGGGTGCAGAGCTCACCTGCTGTGGCAAGAGGGCCCCAGGTGCCAAAGTGCAGAGCCAAGATGCAGAGCAGCAGGCCTGGAATAGAGAGAAGATGATTGAGACCACCAAAAGCCAAATCCAGCTCCAGCAGCCTCCCCAGGAGACCAGGAACCCTTGATGGACCTCCCCAGGATGGACGCTGTCGAAGCAGAGCCCCCGTTACCTTGAAGGGGGAGGACAAGCTGTCGCTGACCTGCCATCGTCCCCACCAGCAGCCTCAGCCGAGACCTGGCAGGAAAAGGCAGAGTCAGGGCTGGGCAGCCCCAGGGGACGGTCCCACTCCAGCGGCGGCCGCTGTCACAGTGGCACAAGATCCCTGCATCTGCCCAGCCACAGCCACAGCCTGGGGAAGGAGCAGAACAGGGAATAAAATCAGGACAAACTACATAAGAGAGGCTGTCCCTGTTGAGTTTTATTTTTTATTTTTTTTTCCCCAAGTAGTTCAGCACCTTGTTTTGGTCCCCATAGTGGTAGGACGCGCTCCTCAGGCAGGAAAAAGTGCCTGGCAGAAACAATACCCACCAACAGCACCTCTGAAAACTCCAATCCAGGACATCTCAGCAGGCTCTCCACCCAGAAATCATCCTGCGTGTAAATAACTGAGTAATTCAGCACTGAAGCCGCTTTGCTGAGGGTTTGGGCTTGCAGATTTTCCCTGCCAGGCACGTTGTCTCTCCAGAGATGGTTCATCTGCGAGCTGCTGGCACCCTCAGCACCCAGCCGTGCTCTGGGTGCTCCAGCAAACCCCATCACCGTGCTTTATTGGGTGTCAGGGAGCAAGAGTCGGGCCCTTCCAGTCCCGGCTGCAGCCAAAGGAGGCTGAACAAGCACAGATGTAGTCCGGGAGCTGCCTGCCCAAAGGCCGATGCCTCCGAGTGTGCTCTTCCCCGTGGGATCAGATCCAGGGCACCCCCACAGCCAGTGGAGGCTCTCCGAAACCACCGAAGCTGCCGCCGATGGATCCCAAGGGCTTGGCACAGCTGCTGGCAAGCAGGAGCCCCCCCGGGAGGCCACGTGCTGCTGGTTGGTGTGGTAACCCTCCAGCCCCACGGTAACGCAGATTTGTGAGCAGGAGCACCAGCGTGGGGTAGTTACCGATGCTTGGCAACACGCAGCAGTCTGCTGATCCTGCTGCAAATGAAGGAGTCTCCCAGCCCAGGATGGTGGCACCCACATGGGATTCTGAATTCAGAGGTGCCTGCACAGCTTCTCATCACCCAGCCCCTTGCCCTGCTGCTCACCCCATTTGGGAAGCTCTGTGTGTTTTGGTGCTTTTTTGATACCCTGCTCTCCGTTAGAGGAAAAGCTCTGCTTTCATTCAAAGTCTTTACCGTTTTAGCTATGGAAAGTGAAGATGTGACTCCAAAAAGTGCTACAAGAACTAGAACGCTTCCCTCCCATCTTATGATTTAGGCTCAGATAGCATTGCCCAAAGACCTGGCATGGCTGAAGCTTGCGTAGCAGCCGCTGTGGGGGTTCATGCAGAGTGAAAGAAAGCAATGGAGGCCCTCACCTTCCAGAGCAGGGCAGCCACCCCACCCAGACCAGGTCTGGCCAACCCTTACTGAACAGGGTGCTGCTCCTGCACAGCCAGACCCAGCTCCAGGCCAGGCTGAGAACAAACACCCACCAGACACAGCCTCATCCCGAGGAGAGCAACATTTCCCCAGAGCAGAGGAAGGAAAAAGCTCCCAGCATTGACTCACCCTTGTCTGTCTGTGCCCCGAAGCCCCCGTGCACCAGCGAAATCCTGCAGCTGCCTGCGCCTCCGAGCACCGACAGCAGCTGCGGTACCTGCAGCACCCTGGTGCCAGCGACCAGCCCCACCCTTGCCAACCACTGGCTGCACAAACCATCACCCAGGGAGAGGTGTTTGTTACCTGCTGGATTTGGAGATGCAAATGTCTCTGCACAGTGGGAAAAAAAAAAAAAATCAGGCTAGAGATGTCAAACAAGCTGACTCTATACCAAAATGAAACCCTGCTGGAGGTAGCATGAGGACTGCCACAAAGGATGAACACAGCCTCTGCATGACGCCCCTTTTCTCCTCGCTGGACTTGCAATTCATGTGGCAGCACGAATGTTCTGGATTATGTACAGACATCTGTGATGGTTTTACTCAGGTGGGCAGCCAAGCTCCACCACAACCGCTCTCTCACTCCCCCTCTCCTTCCAGGTTGGAGCAGTTTTCTCCTGAGGGATGGACCCCATGGTACGGACCCATATCTGGATCAGTTCTGGAAGAGCTGCTGCCTGTGGGAAGGCCACGCCGGATCAGTTCATCAAGGACTGTATCCCATGGGAGGGACCCCACAGCACAGGGGACGAGAGTGACCGAGAAGGAGCGCTGTAGGCTGACCATAATCCCCATTCCCCCATGCCACTCGGGGGGAAGGAGGTGGAAGAGGGTGGATGGGGGGGAAGGTGCTTTTTGTTTCTTTCCTTTGTTTCTCACTTCTCTAGGTTGTTAATAATAAGCAATAAATCTTACTATCTCCCTATGCAGAGTCTGTTTTGCCCATTACAATAATTACTGTGTGATCTTCTTGTCCTTATCTCAACCTTTGAGCCCTTTTCATCATATTTTCTCCCCGTTCCTCTTTGAGGAGGGGGAGTGAGAGAGCGGCTGTGGTGGAGCTCGGCTGCCCACTCGAGCGGAACCACGACAACATCTCTGCACAGGGCTGAGGAGCATTAAGAATTCTCCTAAAGTCACGACAGTCACGTGTAAATGCAGTGTGTTCCTGGGTCAACCATGCTGCACCGCAGCTCAAGAGAGCCACCAAAGAAAGGATCTGCACTAGCATCTACCAGGTCTTTCAAGTCAACACCAATGCTGGAGAAGTGAAAGCAAACTGCACACACAGCCCAAACTAAACCAATCCCAGTTACTTGTTCCCTGGAAAAAGCTTAAAAGGGACCCTAGCACCCTAAAAGGGAGGCAGAGCTGAGGTAAAAGCAGCAATGCAAGCCACGTAAGTTTGTTCTGCAATGAAGTCCTAAGAAAATTACATGCTTACAGCAAGATATAGTACAGAACCACTACTCATTGGCAGCACACAATGTTCATGGGTGCTTTAAAACAGTCAATCCTCAACAAAAATAATTTCCATCCAAACTGGAAGAAACAAAAAGTAATAATTTCTGACAACTCATACCGTGCAGAAAGCTTTTTAAAAACACCATAATCAAATCTCTTCCTTCCAACATACAAAAGGAGATTAGTTTTCAGCACTTCCTAAGTTAAAATCAGTTTATTTTTCAGCTTTTTTTTTTTTTAATATAAAATAATGTCACAGGTCTGCGCTTCACAAGGGGCTTACTAGAAAGAGATTCTATAAAGTATCGTTGAAATCTACGATCATGCAAATACAAAATCCAGGAAATGAAGAGGAGTCAGAACTGCTGCCACTTCGCTGCTTTTTCAGATGTGAAATCCTTCACTTGGGAAAGTTACAGCAGCCCTTGACGTTTCAAGTCTTCATAGGTCTTCTTGTTCACCACATTCCCACTGGAGTCTTCATATTCCTCCTAGAATGAAGTGAACAGTTTAGAGACACCCGCACACAGCTTGACTGGGGTTGTGTTACAGCATTCACATTTTAGCTCCAGCTTCATCTGCTGAGCAAAACCGCCCTGCCAAGAACCTCCCTACTTGAAGGTAGGCAGTGGATCTACCAGCAAGCTCCAGACAGAGATCTTACCTACTCGGAACTATCACAAGCTGTATTACAGGCTACATTTCCCACCGCACTCCAGTCTTACCCAGTTGCCCTTTATACTACTGAAAAACATTTTGAGACAGAGCTCAAGAAAAGGCACTAGTTTAAGTGAACACACTGCTCAGAACAGTTCCTTGTCCTTCTCACAAAACAAAGACAACACTGGTACTGTAAAGCAATGTATTAAAAGATGTTTATGCAAAGAGATGGGTCTACCCTATCAGGAGGAGTTTGCAATCCAGCACAAGAAGTGCTTTTCATGTATCAGCAACAGGAGCTGTACACCTAGCAGCATAGGCTCCTGCCTAACCCTCCTGCATGCAAGGGATTATCTTAGAAGTTCTTCTGACAGTTATGCAAGATAAAAGAGGAGTCCCAAGTAAACAGGCCTAGAAATATCCAAATGCTCTGTAACATCTCACCTCTGTATCAGGCTGCCATCTCTCCGAAGCTTTCTGTAGTTTCAGTTTTGCCCACACTGTAAACACAAAGTCATAAAGGATCTGAATGTTTTGGACAGAACTAGTTAACATGAACATTCTTATCTCACGTTTCCTGTTCTATGCAAAGAAATGCCATCAAGACTTACGTGAGACCGCATCCTCAATCTGTGTGACGTTAGCAAAGTGTGCAGTGTTGGGAATGCCCAGGCATCTCATTCCATGAGCATGTCGCCACTCCTGGGGACAAGAGGTCAGTATATAAGACAGAATGTCACCTCGGCCACAATGCCAGAGACTACAACAGCAAAGATCAAAATACACATCTACCAGTCCTAAACAACCCTATAGAAATATTTTTTCTGCATTTAAGATAGTAACAAAACTCTTGTAGACAATAAACACTCTGTACCAGTCAGGACTGGATACTGGAATTAGTGTTCAAACAACAGGGGACTACAGAAATTGACAGAAGAGATTGTCATGTACCCTAAACATGCAATTCCAACATCATGGCCCTGCAGCATCATTGCAGACACATTTTAGAAGTGGAGTAAGTGCAGCTCAGATGCTCCAGTGATTTACTAGTTACTCATTATTGAGATTATTTGAACGTACTACTGATGTGTTTGTAGCAAGACGTTACTTACCGCAAAGTGACGCTGAAAAGCTTTGGGCCCTCGGTAGGTGTAGTTACCGCAAATCTCACAGTTGTAGTTGATGTTTAAACCATGTAATTTATATAACCAGTACGGGATTGGCTGAGAAGGAAAGACAAACAAAGATTAGACTAAAGGGCAAGACAGATTCAAACAGAAGAGTAGCATGGAGTCAGGTGAAATCTCCCACTCATCCAGCGTTGACAGTTACCTTGCCATCCCAACCAAGAGGCAGATTTTTAGGATTATAAATGATTTCATTTTCTTCATCTTCGCTCTCACTCTCACTGATCTGCTCTTCTTCCTCCTCCTCCCTCTCTTCCCCTGTCCGTGCTTGCTTACGTTGCACATTCTCATGAGTAAGATGTCTCTGTTCCTAAATGCAAGAAATGAGAAAATTTTTCACACAACAGCAACAAACTAAGGGCAAACTATGGCAATGCAAAACAATTC